AGGGAAAATAAGGAAAAGGTACAATCAACCGAGCTATGATACCATTGCACTTCGCAAAATTTAATTTTGGAAAATGGTTCCAGTTTAACTATTTATTTTTCATCTATATATTATGTGTCTATCTTTCTTCTCTCTTTCTCTCTCAAAAATTAGTCATATTTTTTATAGTAATAACCTTCCAGAAATTATTTTACACGCACCATTTTTTAATTTTTTAATTTTCTCTGATTAATATAATATAGGTACATATATATCACAATACAAAATATTAATATCTACCACAATAAGATATAAAATATGTTTGATTAATTTTACTTAATTTTGTACATATAGTGATAGATGTTAATATTTTTTATTGTAGCAAAAAAATATTAATCAGAAAACCGTCCATACGATTACCTTGATTTTCAAGACAAATTTAAAAAAATATCTTTCTGTGTGCAGATATAAAAATATTCTTGGATTGTGGGACATTTTTTTTCAAAGATACTATATCAGATTATTATACAGGCATTACTAGATCATTAAACGATAATAAGATGCATTCAAAACGTTATCGAATAATTAATTTGTTCGTCTTATCAAGTCTCCGTTTAGCATAAATTTATAAAGATGTTTTTATTATTAGTATACATTTCGCAGAACCAAAATTACATTCGTCCGCGAATTTCTGCACATATTTAGGACAATCATTATCTTGTATCATTCGATCGCAATTCGCGCGCCGGATATACCCACAAGGTGTTAACTGTTTCTTGCTCAGTCCAATTAACTGGGATCGATAAGTTCAGCGAAAGATATTTCCCTTCTCCATTGCCTCGTTTCATCGGCGATATAAATTCGAAGGCAAAAAAGAAATGAAACGGATTATTCCAGTCTTGCGCGCTAATAATAAAGGATTCATCAGGGATCCCATCATGCGATCACGAGCTTTGTCGTGTTCGGAAATCAAGTTTTGATACTAAAGGCCACCTTCACGGCGGCGCCCATGATGTTGCCGATACGTGGCAGAACGGATGCACCGGTTAGCGAAAGAAAGATAGGCAACCCTTCTCCGACAATATGACGGTCGGCTGGAAATCACGAAATCCGGCATCCCCCGGGCGGGCTGATTGGGCCATATTTGGCTGTAATTAAGGCACCGGCGGCAGCCATTAGTGAACCGCGAAAATGAACAACATTGTTCGGTGCGTAAATCAAATTGCGCAAGTAAATCTCCTCTTTCGAGATCATCGTAGTTGGTCCCTACGTAACGTCACGCAACATCCAATATGTACTATAGAGAGATCTTTGAAGAGAAATATTATTTTATATATAAAATATTATAATACATATTATAATAAATATTTTATATACAAAATAATATTTTTTTCTTCGCAGATCATTTACATGTATATATGTATCTACATTTTCATTAAGTTCTCTCTGTAACAGGAAATTATTATTAATCATATTAACTGCAACATAATTCCAATATATCAATATGAGGAAAAATTAGCTATCATAGCTTTTTTTTTAGCTGTCCATATATTACAACCTGAAATTTAGTTATCATGCTCAAATTTTAGCTGGGATAACTGGTAGGTAACTAATATTTTTAGTTGTAATTTTTAATAGAGAATGCTTAGCTAAAAATATTAGCTATCATAGTTAAAATTTAGGCATAATAATTAAATTTTGTGTAATATAGGTACAGCTAAAACTCACATTAATAATGTAAGAAATATATACAACTTTAATTTTTTTAATAACATTTCTGTCAGCTAATAATATTCGATGCAAGCAATCAAGATCAAGCACGAATGGCTGGTGAAAAGTCAATGAAATAACGTTACGTGAAACGCTCCTGTCATATATTTAGAGATGAATATACGAGCAAACAATACTTTTCGACTCGTATAATTGGTGCTACGGGCGCCCAATGGGGCCACCTCGCAGAGGGCCATCGATGCAGGATGAAGAGATTTACAGTGTTCCCGGTCGTAAAATAATCAATAAAATCTGCGCAATGTAAAGAAACGGACGTGCGGCAATGATTTAGTATACGGAGCGCCGGGTCTCGCCCTCTCTCCTTTCTCTTTCACTGCATGTCTCCCTCAGGGTGATTTTCTCACAGATTCGTTCATAAGACTCTACGAAGGGCGAATCATGATTCATCTTGCAAAAAAACATTTATCCAAACTCGCGAATCGGAATTCACAAAATTAGATCAGATAATCAACACTTTATATATAAGTAATAATTATATCACTAATAATATAATTATTATGTCGGTATAATAATTGGATAACTATGGATTCGGTTAGAAAAAATATGAAACAATTACATATTACAATAATAATATATTTGGGTGTAGTAATTTATATTAAATTAGTAACATGATATGTATTTATCAATATGTGTATAGTTTATGTATATATGATTACAAAGATATTTTATAGAATAACGTTTAAAATTACAAAATTTTGATCTAAGTTTCCAAAAATTTCAAATCTAAATTTTTCATAAATAATAAAATTTTTTAATTTCAATCAAAATTTTTAATTTAATGAATTTAATACGCGTTTTATAAAATACTTTATATTCAATTTTTCTTATATTATTATAGAGATAAAATAAAATAAATTTAGTATATTGCTTATTGCTATTCTTTGAGTGCTACTTAAATTTTCTAAAGACATATGATCAATTGTGGAAAAAGAAAATATACACATAGGCCACATGTCGTTGAACTGGAAACCAATTAGAAAGGGAGCCGATGGTCATTTTGAAGAAGCGCATCGCCTCGTAATCGAGTACTAATTCATCAACGCGGTCCATTTACGAGCGTAAGTCGCCCAAATGATCCTGTAGCTTCGCCACACAGGTAATAGGCGTGGCCCTGGCTATTTTGAACGTTATACGTATCTTGGTTTTACGAGGCGTTAAAGGCACCGTGACTGATGGCAGAGCCAACTAACAAGGTTTCATAAGGAAAACAAAGACGTTCGACAAATTTTGATTTTTATTTATCTATTGCTAAGAATAGAGGCTTTTATAGAAGACATTTGCTCACATATTTGTTTCCAACACTTAACATAGTTTTAAACTAACGTCCTAATACTTTGTTGAACATTAGATTCATTTCATTAGTGTTTTTTTTTTAATTATGTTTCTGTCATTATCTAGTATATAATACTCAATATTTAATTTTAATTATTACTACTTCTATTATAAAAAAATATATTTTAATTATTACAGTTACAGCTAAAATTTTTATTCTTATTATCGTTTTCAGAATTATTATTATTATTGTTTTTAATATTGTTTTTTATGTTTAATCTTTTTTTTTAACTTAAAAATATGTATATTTTTATGATTATGTATTATAATTTATACATATGAGTCTTATTATTAGTGTCTAATGTTTGTTTGATATTCTTAATAATTTTTCTATTTAATATAAATTTATTATTTCTATATCTGATCGTGAGTATCTAAATTTTACTGCAAAATTTTTGATTACTCAACGATCGTCAATTAATTGAATCATGAAGACATCTCGAATGTAAATGGTACCTTAAGTTTCCGGTGGGAAATATAGTGCGATTCGCCCCGGGGTTTTGCAGCGGGAGCCAAGTATGGTGACGAATTTACGAGCTCCTTACGAACAGACGCTTACCTTCCTCATGAGCACGTAGCGGGCAATAAAGTACGAAGCCAGAGGATACTCGAAACAATCTGGAGAGAGGGTAGGGTCTATCTCAGTTTTCGAGGAAACCAGGATCAATTTTAAAAATTGATTTACAAGTGAAAATTTAAAATTTAAATGAATGAAATTTAATTGAAAATTTTTTTAAATTGATTTACAAGTGATTGGTACGTCGACGAGTTCTGTCTTTCTGTCGATTGATTTGTTGTCAGTTTTATTTATTGATATCATTATTGATCGGAAATTGATCGATTTAAAATGCTCCGAGAGATAATTAAAATTTACCGAAAAACATTGACAGATTTAAATTTCCAGTGTTTTTTAAATGAGATAACATGGTTTCTGTTATCAAAGTTGAATAAAATAAAACTTAAAATTAACGAGACTCAAAATTGTTCTTTAAAATATCTTAATGACAGGAAATTAAAATTGTAAGTTATTTCATTAATTTTTATTTATATATTCATCTTTGATAATAATAGAAACTTTGTTAATCTTATTTAAGCAACTCTTTAAGAAGGCTCTAAATCTGTCATTGCTAAAAATCTTATTAATCATCTACAATTATATATTATATAGAATAAAAACTTAAACATTTGCTATAATTTGATATTATAAATGTATAAAATAAATTGTTTGCATTTATAAGGCAATTGTTGAAGGGTTTTCAATGATAATTCGATTGTTTATCAAGGAATTAAAATTTTAAACCACAAGTGTGGAAATGGCTTTAAGGTGAAGGAACGAAACGATAAAATGTTTCGTCAAGAAACCCACGCAATTAGATTTCGCAATAAATAGAGGGAAGTAGGAAGTATTTGAACAGAGTCATGTTATTACGAGCTTGACAAGCGAGAAAAGGACAAACGAGAGAAAAGGAGAGAAAGAGCTATATAAGTTTTGCTTGTTTTTGCGAGCAAGACTCTTGCTGCCGATTGGTCGACTCATTATATGGCAATTAAACGACGTGGCACCCATTGCGACTTGGTCGATTCGTTCACTTGGTGTGGCGCTAGTCGTTGGATCCGATAGATTGGACGATTGGCATTAAAATCCTCTTCTTATATATAGATTGTATCATAAAAAATATATTTCTATTTATACAATAAGATCTAAGAACGTACATTTTGCTTATACAATAAAATGTCATAATTTGTATTAATTTTATATTAGAAGTGCATGTGCAATTTGTGCTGCACAAAGTTTCTTAATTTAAAAATTTATCTATTAATTATTATATATGATATTTTTATTTTATATATTATATTGTTGAAGAGATTTAAGATAATAAATTAAATAACTACAAATAATTACCAAATTATATTAATAAAAAATTACGTTCTCTTTAAAATGTTCAAAGTGTTTAATGCACAAGAAAAATTTGAAAACTTTTAATAAAATTAATATCACGATGTGAGCTTAAAATTATCATAAATTATTAATCACTAGCGTTGAACGTCGGGTTGCGAAAAGTCGATGTCGCTTGTTTGTAGAGAGGATTCTCACCCTAAAATATTCTGACATATATTGACGTTCTGACAATCTTGCAGTCACGCGATTGAATAACAATGGTGAATAACGACTTACCCTATCCCATTTGGCGAGAACGCACTCCTTCTCGAACTTTGCAAATTCTCTCTTGTCATGGATCATTGTGAGGATTTTCCAAATGAGGAGAATCAGGAAACCGATAATGACGGTACTTATGACGACGCCCAGTGCAACACCTACGGGAGAAAGTATAAAGTCTAGTTTAGCTAATTTATTTTAAATTTTTCTCGTAAATTTTTTCCATTGTGTTAATGCACAATAATACCGTGTCAGTTTAAGACATTGTTACATCATTAAATATAGAATTAATATATGTTGTCATGTAATTAAAATAAATAGCATTGTTATATAATTTTTCGAAAGTATGTATCTGTATGTTACGCACAAGAGAGAGTAATTTCATATTAATCATCTATTTAACGTTACATACTATTTGATTATTATTATAGATGTGACATTAATTTGAGACATTTATCATCTCACACATTTATCATCTAATATTATTCATGAAGTACTTGTTATGTATAAAATAAATTTCCGAATTTATATCTGTTTGAGAAAACATAATGAGATGTAAATTAGATATTTCGTAGCACACACGGCGTGATAAAGCATCATTCGTGATATAATATAAGACAAATTACCGAAGACGTTAATAGGCGCCGGACAAGTTCTCTCTTCCTGAGCTCGAATCTTGAAAATTTTAATATCTCCGCCAGTACCGTCTCTGTGATACTGGTATTTAAAGACAAACGTGCAGCCTGCATCACCGGGTGTTCGACATATGCGGGCGCCGGTTTCCTCGTCCTTCGCAGGATCTTCCTCGACAATGTCGACCTGAGGAATAATAAACATCCGTTTACGTTGCATTGTAAATTATTAACCGCCCGCGCGCAGCTTGCAAAGTAGATATTATCTCGAAGGAAGCGCTACCAACAATGTCAATTTCGTGCATGCACAAGTCGCATTTCCCGTCCTTCGCGAGCGGTCCTGTATTATACGCTACGCACTCCACGCAATCCTTCAGCTCCTCGCATCTTTGTCCCGGACACGTCTACAATAACATTGTACACCATTATTTCGCAAGAAGAGATATTTATGAAATTGTCATTCGAGTACATGATGCGCAATTTATCTTGAAATAACATTTTTGAAATGCCTTTCTTGCAAGAAGAAATAAGTTAATTCTATAAGCAGGTGTAATAATAACTTAAATTATTCAGCATCGAAATATATTTATAATTTATGCTCATAATTAACAATTTATTTGGTATATAATTTTATAGATTTTAATTGCGCGTGCATATCATTTAGTAATTCTATACAATTTATCTTAATTGAAATAATATTTTCGAAATGTCTTTTTTGCAAGAAGAAAATGAATTAATTAATTTTATAAGCAGGTGTAACAATAACTTAAATTATTTACCATCAAAATATATTTAATTTATGCTCATTTTACTCATAATTAACAATTTATTTGATATTTAATTTTATATAGATTTTAATTGCGCGTGCAATATCATATAGTAATTCTATATACATAAACGCCCGTATGTGAATAATTAATTAGAATAAAAATTTAAATTAAAACATCACTTTTATGCTTATTAGGTCTTTTTTTGTTCTTTATCGCGAGAGAAATTGCTCGTCGATTTTTTCCGACATTCTTTCTTCAAAACGCATGCAGATTACTTACAGGACACTCCTCGCAATATTGTCCGGAGTATCGGATATTGTCGCGTTCTTGACAATGGCAGCTGCCGCAGATGCAATCGCCGCGTCCGCTGCAAATCTCGACGTTTCCGCCCGACGATGGGATGCATGTGCTATTGGTCTCTTTACAGTCGCACGTTTCGCCACCCCAACCTGGTAGACAATTGCAGGTACCGCATTCGCACTTGCCTCGTCCACCGCAGATCTTAAACAGACAAAGGATGAACGGCTGGTACATAATGGATGTACGAAGGCGTGTAATTTGTTTTCCATCGCCCTTATAAACGGCGTTACCGCTCAAAGAGAGGATTGCCGTGTAGTAAATTTTGCGCGAATTTGTTGAAAGCGATTGCCAGGAGAATAGATTACAATGATGGATCGTAGATCATCTCTCTCCTGCCACGTTTATAATTCTTTATCGTTATATAAATGACCGTAATAATAATGTGCATGTTAATTTCCAGTTAAAATATATTGAATTTAACTATTAATATTGAATATCATTTCTACTCACAATTATACAGATTTTTATATGTTACAATTTTTATAATGTGTTCAAATAAAAATAAACACAAAAAAATTAGCCACCATAGCTAAATTTTAGCTATCTCTATATGACAATCTGAAATTTAATTATCGTGCCTCAATTTTTAGCTATTGTAACTAGTATTTTTAACTATAGTTTAACGGATTCTATAGCTAAAAAATATTAGCTATTATAGCTAAAATTTAGGCATGACAACTAAATTTTCTGTGTAATATAGACAGCTCAATTTAGTTATGGCCACTAATTTTTTTCTGTGTGAAATAATGTTTATTAGTCTATATGATCAAATGGTTCTTATATTTTTTATATTGTGAGAACTATTTTTATAATAGGTATGTGTAGTTTATAGTCTTATTCAAAGAACGTGTGAATTTCATATAATATAATATTATAACACCACAGCTAAAATTTAGGTATGATAACTAATATTTTTATAGCTATAGTTTATAATGGAGAATTCTATAGTTAAAAATATTAGTTATTATAGCTAAAATTTAGATATGATAACTAAATTTCAGGTGTAATATGTAAACAGCTAAAATGTAACTATTGAGGCTAATTTTGTCCGTGATATTATTTTATTCTTTTTAATCTTGAGAAGAATCTATACCTGGCCGCCACTGCGTTTGCAAGAGAAATTGTCGCATTCGCAGTATTTTCCGTAAAACATTTCATGCAGATTGTTCGGTCGTTTATCGCAGTCGCAGACGCCGCACTTGCATGTACCATGTCCGCTGCAAATTTCCGTAGTTTGGTTGTCGGGTTTGCAGTCAGCTATCGAGATCGAGTTGCCAGCACCGACCTCGTTTCCTTCGCACTCGCATTGCTTTCCATAAAAACCGGGATTACAGGAACATACGCCGCACACTGATTTGCCGTTATTCTTGCATTCCGCGGCGTTCGGTCGATATCCCTATTTTCCGATTTGTAAGGCGATTAATATTGTGCAAATTTGATTAATTATATCGCACAGTGCGTAAATTGCAAATTTTTAAAACGTTACATATAAAATCTTGTGTGTTAGCTAAAAGATAGATTTCTTTTTACTATTATTTTTTAACAATATTTTTTGTGTTATTTTTTAATTTTATAATATATTATGTAATACCGAGTGTCCAGGTTTCTCACAAGGACAATCGCATATGATTTCTATATCGATAGTCAAACTCTCATTTAAGCCTCTAGGTTTAATCTCGATGGTTTGTTGCCAATCCTTTGGATCTTCGGGACATTCAACAACCTGATAATTAAATTCAATAATATGTATAAGCTGTCTAACTAAAATATTTGTTAGCTAATTCATGTACCTTAATCACAACTTCAAAATCAATAATGTTGCCTACACGAAGTCCTCCACATTCTTGACGTTCCAGCAATTCTCCCGTTTTATTTAAACATCGAGAGAAATATTTAACATTGATTATCCTCGGTGCTGTGTCGATTATTGATACAGAGTCTACTAGTTTCTACAAATTATTAATATATTAAATTACTAGAGTAACTATTTAGCTACCATATGAATATAAAATATATAAGTATTCTCCGAAAGAAGGAAGCTTAAGTTATGAATGAACGTTCTATTAGCTTTTCTAGATTATAATAAAAATTGAAATGTGTAGCGTAAAAAATGAATTACACACTTAAATACATATATGTATAATTATTATAATTATTATTTCTAACAGGGTCACCTCGTATTCACTGCTCACTAAGGCGACGACATTCCGTGATTCGTTTTCCAAAGTACCTGTTGAAGACCCACTGATACTACGACTCAATCGCTGGTAGGTCGCATTTTTGTGATCAGGAATAGCAAAAATAATGTTCATGTTATGTTCACGCGCTTTCCTGTTGAGCTAAAGGAATAAAAACATTTTTTTCAAATTATTTAAGTTTGTACTTTTACAAATAAATTATTTTTTTATTGAAAAAAATGTATTTACCTGTGAGATGGACGGATAATCCTGTAAAAGAGAATGGTTGTAAAATCCTTTTTCGTCCAAATGACACATGCAATCGTTGGGCTCTATTATTCCTGCAAGCTGAGAAATCGTAAATGTGTTTTGAAGTTATAATGGTCAACTCGTTATGTTATCGCTCGATGTCAACCGAGGGTTTTGTATGATTCACGACCACGTACTTTACCGTCTCCGGCGACGTGGAAGACCGCATCGGTTGAGAACACGATAAGATGACGCGCTTTTTGGCGCCAGCCGATTTCCTTAGTACACACAATGACCTGCATCATCGCATCGAGCCCGCCTTCAGGTCCGTCTAAATTACCTGACACCGGTGCCGCCTGTACCTGAGCCTAATTTGGTAAATTATTGTATTTGATACAATATTTGAAACACATAAAACTAACATATTGAATAGTTTAAAATAGTTTAATTAATATTTAGTTTAAGTTATGAAGAAAGTTATTATACAGAATTGAAATTTTGTTCTTTTTTCAGGAAATATATTTTATATTTATTTAATTACTTTTTTATTTATTTATTACTATATTCTGCATTTGTTAAATTATGATTTTGAAAAAATTATGTTTATTTGTTTAATTTTGTCGATTCTTTTTAATTACTTATTAGAATTTTCTTTCAATTTTTCACTACCTGCCGAATACATTTTTATATATATAATCACCTCAAATAGAGCTACATTTTCTGTAAGAGGCATCTGATTTTTATAATCATAAGGCGACGCACATGACTTTCCGGTTTTCAAAATGCAAGGAGATTCCAATCTATAATCAGATAAAAATTTAATCAGATTATAAACGCATCTCTTATCAATGATATAATTTTGTTACCGTTCTAATAAAAATTTCAATTTATTATTTATTTTATTGATTGAAAGATTAGAATGATTTATACATATATAATGAATAATATATAATGTCTTACTTGTCAGGTTGCGTGTTGGTCATCGGTAAAATGACTTTGTCTACAAAGCTGCCAAAACCGATACGAAAATTCGACGTGAGTTTTTGCATAGCTTCGGCCAATTGCAAGCCTAATTTCGACAATTTATCTTTGTACGGTTCCATAGATGCGGACAAATCCATAAGGTAATATAAATCCACAGGATAATCCTCTGCTTGACTGTATTTCAGAATCACGCGATAATCCTCTCCTATTAATAATTTATGTGATATTCTTGTAGAATTTAATTCTTGTTCTTCTTGTAGAATTTTGATTAAATTATAGTTTATAATTTTATATATTTATTAAAAAAATATACATTGAATATTAAATAAAAGTACCTATAACATATAACTCTATTATATGTATAGTCATTAACTAATTATATTTTAATATGAGTATATATTGAATGTTTTACATTCTGTAATAATAATAATAAATATTGTTGACATATTTTTAAATTTTTATCTATTTATTAGAATATTAAAATAGATTATTAAAATACTATTGATTGCAGGAAAATTAGAGATAAAAACTTAGCGTGCAAATTTTTTCATTTTTCTGATACCTCGCCTGAGACGCAAACGGATCCTCTGAGGTTGAACTTGGACGGGATCTTTACCCTTAATCGAAGACAACGGTCGAGTTTCAAGAATGTTTATCGTATTCTCAGGATGTATTACGTCTGACAATGGACACCAGAGATAACCTTCTCTCAAAAATGTCTGCCGGGATACACAACGAAGCAAAGGACTGCTTGCATTCTGTCCAGATACCTTGCAAAATCAGGAACTCAATCTCATCGATCACATTGCATTGAAATATTCAAGATGAGAAAAACAATATATATAAAAATGTATGTACAACATAGAAGAATTTATCAATAATTTTTCCAAATATCTGGATTTTAATAATTCATTTTTTTGATGAGAAAATTTTATTTAATTTATGGCAATTCTTTTCATCGTATGATTATGATATAAATGTATTTCCGCTCCAAAAAACTAAGAATTCTTTCACAGAGAAAATAAAAGATATTAAAAAGTCCTTTATAAGTGACGTTCTTTTTAAAACTTTTAACTTTAACTTTAAATATTTTAAAGTTATAAATAATTAATGATATTATTTTAAGAGATAATTTTTAATTGTCTAAAAAAATTAATTTGAATAGAAAAATATGAAAATACTGTTTCTGTAAACATTCATTAATCAATAATAATTAAAAAATGCCACATATCAATTTTATTTTATTTTAAATTTTGATTAAAATTATGTTCATTAGATCAAGTAAGTTTTAATTTTTTAATTTATTTTATTATAAAATAAATACGCGCGCGAATGCGTCCCGTCAATTTTTTCTAATTACATTTATTCTACATATATATAGGTGTATGTATATATATATATATATAAAATAATATAATAAATTACAACAAAATATTTCCTATAATACAGATATTTTATTGATAAATTTCTCTCGTAATAGAGGCACTCATTTTAATTAAAAGATAAAAAAAATAAAAAAGATAAAAAAATCATTCTCGTGCTAAGTGTCTACGAGTATAAAACTATGAAACAGTCACACAATCGCATGATTTCATTCATGAATCATCAGCAAAAGAATGACGGTTCTAAAAAGAGGATCGTCGCGCAGGTGTTTATGTCCGATATGTTTCTTGTCGTAGACTCAATTAATGTAGCCATCACTTTATTCATTTCTAGCGTGTTTCGCTTTTTCTTTCATGACACGTTTATAATCATAAATATTCATTACCATCATAGAACACCACACGCATCGTGGCGTTTGGAGACAGCTCGAGCAGGTTTGCTGGGACTCGCAGAGGCTCTCCCGGTCCCGATGCTGCGAGGAGGCGAGTACGAAGAGTCGCGTCATCATCAGGAAAAGAAAGACGGCCGTCGTCCACCGAGTCATTATTTCGCCGTTAACGTCGACGTACGGCGAAAGTGAGGCGCGGACGACGAGCCGAGAGCCGCGGTACCGACGCTCGCGATCTACGAAAGGATACTGCGGTATCCCCGGAAATGACTTCGAGATAAAAACGTGTCACAGTCATAATGCGTCATCAGGTAATCACATTCATTTGCTCTTTCTTCGGGGACAATTCTGTGATCGGATCCTCCGAAGCACGAGAGTCATCGTGTATATACATTGCAATGATGTAAAAAAATTATATATATATATATATATATATATATATACATACATAAAAATACGATTTGTTCGAGTTTGAATGAATAAGATGATAAGATTATATATATATACATAAATACGATTTGTTCGAGTTTGAATGAATAAGATGATAAGATGAAGATAAAAAGATAGGATGAAAGATTTATACAAATAGAATATGCTTAAGAACAACAAATATAGAAATAGATTGTACTTATTACTTATAGACTGAATAATTTTTTTTATTATATGAATTTTTATCTCTGCTTCTATATTTCAATATAGATAAAGTATTAAACTTAAATTTACACGTATTTTATTCATATATGAAATTATCAATTAAAAACGATTTTGATATATTCTTTCAAGTTTCAATATTATGAATAAAATTGATAGTTATTAATATATATATTTTTAAGATTTTGTATTGATAAAGATTTTACGGAAAGTACAATCCACTTCCATCTAGCGTGTCAGTAAGGCATTAAATAAGATGCAAGTTTGTTAATATCCCAACAGATGACGCATAATGACAAAAAATTTGGCAGTGTTTTCAACAATCTACAAACATAAGAAAATTCTTTTCGTAATAATTATTTTTCATTTTATGAATATATTTGATAAATTGTCAAAATTATGTATGCTATCTAAAACGGGGTTTTAACTCAAATTCATTTAAATTTGTTTCTGTAGTCTTTTCATAAGAAAAATTTGGCAAAAATGTCGATGATACATTCATGTAATTAATTTTTATCGTAAGATAAATATATAATATATTTATCTCTTTCGTGTAACAATGACATTTCTTATCATTATTCATTTTTATTAGTTTTAGATATCTCTGTTTTCAAACTTATCAATCTAATTTCCGTGGCCGCTTTCACGAGCAGAAATTGTCGCCACGTATCTCTATTGAGTACGCTCCTCAAAGAAATCGTAATCCTTGGTTACAGGTATATCATCATAGTACATGACACACAGTGGTAGTGGTATATGCACTTGATTGAATCCATTTTCGATGCGTTTGACAGATGACCGATTGTCACTGTTTGACAAGTTTGACAAAGTGAAAACCAAATAAGCGAGCCGATATGGAAGCGGTGCCGAGGTTGCCAATGATATGGTTCCAAGTAAAAGTCAGTCCAGAACCGACTACTTTCGGACCGAAACTCAAACAGGTACAAATTTTACATTTTTATATTCGGCTTTTTATATCTAATTAGTCAAATCGTTGCGCTACGCATATAGCATTAATTACGAATCTGTCGTTCGTGCAAAATGTCAAAGTGCTAATGACAACTTGCAATTTGTTTCTAGCATAATATGATTTATCTATAACTTTAATAATTTTATCTATTGCTTTGTCCTCTTTTTTTGTAGTACATACGAGATTTTTATAATGAGGATCCTGAATCATACAACAATGAGATACACCAATTGGAAAGCTTGCGTTCGATGGCAGTTAGACCACCAGTTGATACAGCTGGCTGTGTGCTGCTGAAAAAGTATTACTGTCAATTGCATTTTCTTCAGAGTAGGTTTCCCATGGGCAAGGATGGCCCTGCTGCAGTCACATTTACTTGGTACAGAGAATTACATTTTTCTTGCATCATAATTTATTTATGTGTAATTGCATAATATAATTTAAGATTTGATTTAATTATACACAAGAATTTGTACAATTGTAATCAATGAATTGTATGATATTTTTTTTAGGAGAGACACTTATGCAAATATGGTGTGTTCATTGGCTAATATTCGTTTTGAAATGATATCCATTTTGTATAATATTGGAGCAATACATAGCCAATTAGGCGCACGCACAGAAAGAAATAGTGGAGATGGAATGAAACTGGCATGTAGTCATTTCCAATGTGCAGCATGGGCTTTTGAACATTTGAAGAATAGTTATCCCCAACCATCTGGAGTGGATCTAGCACCAGAATTAATGACTTTTATGCACCAACTTTGCTTAGCACAAGCACAAGAATGCATTTTACAAAAGAGTATGTTGGATAATCGTAAACCAACAATTGTAGGTATGTATTATTATTTATATCGATGAATTTTAATAGTAACTATGTAGTTTTGTCTGTCATTATATAAGATATATGTATTGTACAGCAAAAGTTGCAAAGCAAATAGTAGATTATTTTACTATGGCGCTAAACACATTGGAGCAAGGTGGAAGTGAAGATGGAACAGTATCTGATACAGTGGGTACCAAAATTTATAAAGTAAGTAAAGTTTATAGTGTTTATATGTTGCAATTATTTCATATATACAGAATTTTAATATTATTTTGTTAATCTATAACTTAATAGCTAATTATTGAAATCTTTGTAGAGTTGGAAACGTTATGTCAAATTTAAAAAGGCATATCATTCTGCTATTACATATCTTTATCAAGGCCTCACAGCTGAGGAACAAAGGAAAATGGGAGAGCGAGTAGCTTTTTATAATGCTGCACTAACATCCCTGAATGAAGCACATGCAATTTACGATTTTGCAAATGTTAAAGAAGAAAAGGCTGCAGTAGAAGAAGCACTCACATTTACGAATGATGTAATAGAAGGCAAAAGAAAAGCTGCTAAAAATGAAAATGAGTTTATCTATCATGAAGAAGTGCCAGAAAAAGAAAATCTTGCTGCAGTAAAAGGTGCTTCTTTAGTTAAAGGAATATCATTTACTATAAATGATCCAGAGGTATCTGGACAAGATATATTTGCAAGGTAATTCTATTTTATATATTGGGTTTGTTCGTTTTATCTGCACTGCTGTACTAGTAATAAGTAATAAGTTAGAATGAGATAAATGTATATTTTTTCACTCTAACTTATTGCAGCAGTGCAGGTAAAACGAACAAACCCATTATTGTAGTATTCCTTTTATACAAGATGTAATCGATTGTTTTTTATTAATAACGAATTCGGTTGGTTGCACTAGTGCGTACTGAGTGCATATAAAAGTTTATCACACAAGTTCACAATGAGAAAAGAAATTAAAAGAAGAAAATAATTAATAGTAAGAGCTATTATTATTATTGTTTTATAATTGTTGAATAATAATAATAATAATAATAACAACTCTTATTATTAATTATTTTATTTTTTTAATTACTTATGTCATTGCAAAATTGTGTGCAATATCCTTTATGTGCACTCAGTGCGCACTAGTGCATCTAACCGAATTTGCTATAAGTTAAATATATAAATAATATATATTTTTATAATAATTGAGAAATATGTGTCGCCCAACTAGCAATTTATTAATCTTCTTACAACGTTTCAACCCTCCCTTCAGGCTCTTTTCAAGTAATGTAATTATATTTATATTTAATATATTTTTATATTATTACTATCTTTTTCGTTATTTTTACTGTGGTCCAACATATAGATTGATTTCTCTTAATGTGGGAATTATAATATTTATATGTTGTTTTTTATTTTTTTTTTCAGATTAGTTCCTATGAAAGTGCACGAAGCTAGTTCTCTCTATTCGGAAGAAAAAGCAAAAATATTGCGTTCTATTGGAGCAAAAATCGAGGAAAAAGATCAATATCTGAATACTTACCTTACATCTTTGAAGTTGGAGCATATGAATTTATGGGATCCTGATAGCACGCAAGGTTCAGAATGGGAGTGCTTACCACTTCCAGAAGAATTAGTCGAACGATGCGCTGCGCTTAATGCCAAACAACATGTTATTGAGGACTTAGTAGATATAATGGGAAAACTATCCGAAACAAGCCAAGATGTTGAAAGTGTATTAAAAGAAATATCGAAACTGTTGTTGGAAGAGGAACAAAAGTATGAAATTAATCATCTCATTAGACTTTGTTAAAAGAATTTAAACCATTAATGTTTTCTTTACTTCATTTATATAACAATAGGTAGAAAATGTTACTAAAGAATTTGTGAACTTTTATAGAGAGAGGCAATACCAAGAGGCAATTGGCAAAAGACCACCATCAATAGTAGCGACAGATTTGACTAGAGAAGCTAAGAAATATGAAGAAGCACATAACAAGGCTTCAGAGAGTAATCAAGCTTTGCACAAAGCAATAACAATGCATGTAAAGAACTTGAAAATTCTTGCTCAGCCATTGGCTGATTTAATGGCGCAGATTCCATCACCAAGTATATATCTTTCAGGTAAGTGTACAATACAAAATTTACTTATATAATATTAAATTTATTTATATGTTAATATATAAAATATATATATTATTAAATTTATTTATATGTTAATATATATAAAATAATAATAATTTAAATAATTTTTTAAAGTAATGTTTATAATACATAGATATACATATATTCTTGCAATGTTTCATACAGATCAGAGTTCCGAAAAATCACAAAATGCAAAGGAAATAGAAAAAATGCATACTAAAGAACTAAAACGTATATTAAATAAAGTAGATGAAATGCGAATGCAGAGACTTGAATTGCATAACAAATTACGAGACCAAATCGCCCAAGACGATTTAACACGCTTACTAGTCACAGCTACTTCTGAATCTGCTCCTTTGGATCGTTTATTTGCAGAACAGCTTAGCAAACATGAGAGTTTGGTTAGTAAAAAAAATTATATTTATTATTTTAATAAATTTATATTTAAATGTTTATATTTTATATTTAAATAAAAAAATTGTATGTACAATTATTTTATATCTTTTAATATGTAATACAATAAAACGATTTAAAATTGGATTACAGGTAAATATAATAGAACATAATCTCGCAGCGCAAGATAAAATATTAGCGGCGTTAACGGATGTATATGCACAGACTGCTAACATACGAAAGAATGTCGAAGAGATATTAAAACGTAGAGAAATTACGATATCCTCCTTAATCAATTCTTATGACGCATATGAGGATTTATTAGCAAAATCGAGTAAGGGTTTAGAATTCTACAGAAAATTAGAAATAAACGTTACAAAATTATTACAACGAGTTAAAAGTACATGTAAGGTGCAAGAGGAAGAACGGGAGCAAATACTTGCGCAGGATAGTAAAAATACAAGTGAAAAGACTGATGTGACAATACCGTCGACCTACGATCAAGGACGTACTCGATCTAACAATGGCCTTAAGTTGAAGGATTATTTGAACAGCAGAGTGGAAGGCGGTACTGGTTATCAAAATCCATATTATAATTTATACAAAGGACATACTGTAACGTTGCAAGTGGACTCGGCTCCAAAATCATCGATAACTGATATAGGAAACAAGAATGTAGTTCAATCTCCAATATCTATACCGGAAAGTCCGTCTTCGTCAACGAGATCGCCCCAACATTATTATCCTACGACGTACACTGATTATAGAATAAATTCTGCATACCCGTACGGTGCTCAGAATTATTATGAAAATCCGATTGCTTTAAATCAGAACTCCTTGCCAACGACTAATACGAACGCTACGGGTGCCTATCAACAACCAGGGTTATCTGTGCCAACTGCAGGTGCATCTAATTCGAACGTACAATATCCTGCAAGTTCCTATCTACCAAATGGACAACCTCTATCAGCATCTATTACCACGCAAGATAAATTCCACGGAGTCACACATACCAATTACAATGTTTCCAATACTACTTTGCAATACGACACTTATCAATCTCCAGCGGGTTATAATAGCTACAATGTTGCAACGCCGTATGTTTCTAATCAAGAAAAAGCTACGATTAAAAGCGGAACAGTGAAGATATCCTCGCAAGTACAACCAATACTTGCAAAAGTGCCTGTTTCTACAATAGGTGCGGCTGTGAACAGTCCCATGTCAACGGACGATCAGCGTCAAGTTTCTTATAGCGTTGCGCAACAACCCCAACAATATGATAATCAACAAAAAGATATGTCTCACGGTGGTCAAAACACTGCTATTAGATCTCAGCAGACTCAACTGTCAAAGGATAATACGCCCACGCAAAACTACTCGCTCCCTCAAACCGGCCACGCTGAAATGACATATCCGCAAAACTATCATCAAGGTACCGCGTATTACAATCCGGCAGAACTACAAACCCAGCAAGTCCCATACACGGACACTCATGGCACGTACGACACAACTGTCGTCCCTCCGACTCAATATGTGCAATCGCAACTACCGAATACGAGCAGTCATCAGTCTGTAAACTCCGTAACATCGGCGAGCGAAAATTCAGCATCGTACCCTTTGAACTTACATAGCATTAATTCCGTTCAATATTCCCAGCAGACGAGTACAGAACAAGGTAAACAGAATTATACGGATAAAACATACGTTGCTTATGGCACTCAAGTGCAAATGAACACTGTCGCTCCGAATTATCCGAGTACTTATCAGACTTATCAGCATGGCACTCCTGGAACGCCATATCAACAACAACAGAGTAACCAGATGTTACCCGGAGACACGTCTAATGTCTATGCTTATTTAAGCAGCTCAAGTAATTCAGAGATGATACAGAGCCATGCGAAACCGACGACGGTGCAGAGTTACTCACAGTCGTATCAATATTCCCAGCAAGTTCCTTACTCTGGATACGTACAATATCCGAATTATTCGCAAAGTCAGAATTACACTTACATGCAAAACACTCATGAAACGAATACAATGGCATATACATATAATCCTGTCAATCAGGCGCAAGGGTATGCTTATGCATCGAATCCGCAAAATACGCAGACTGCTCAAGGGACTCAGGAAGCCACGATTCCAATGACATCCTCCGATGTTACGGCTAGCAGCGTTTATTATCAACAGCAAGAGACGAATGCGAGATACACGAACGCGGGCGATATTGCTGTGGTCAGTCAAACGCCATCGTCACAATACAGCCCAGTTTATCAGCCTCAAACGGGAAGTGACACATATTATACCACACCTTATGGTCTTCAAATGCAGGGTCAAAGTATGTTATATATATTATATTTTTTTAAATATATATTTTATATATATAATTATATATTTTTGCTAATATCAAGATATTGTGCGTTTTCTTATACTATTTAATTCGTTTTGTTTCAGCTGGTACGATTACAAGACCGGTAAATTACACTAATTACAATCAGACGTATATGCAAGCCGTCAACAATGGAACGAACACGACAACGAGCGCAAATCCGATGAAGCTTACAACCAAATCTGAGGAAGCGAAGTCAAACGTCGATCTTCTTTCCGATCTTGACATTACTATAAACCATGCACCACTTGTGCCGGAAGTACGACCTCTTGCTACAATACAGAAAAAAGAAGAGATGAATGATACTGCTGAAGATGTTAAGGCAGAAAAAAACGAGCAAGAGAAATCCCATAATACTGAACAAGAAGCAACAGTTACCTGTGAAGATAAAAGTGACCATGAAAACTTACAAATTGTATGGGATACCTGGTACAATGACGTTCAACCGAAAAAAGATCCTCTCGGAGAACCAGCAGCGTTACAAAAGTTCATTAATGATGTTGAGAAATATGAAAAGTTTGTAGATAGTTTACTCGTAAAGACTCTAAGCGGAGCTACAAATCTTGATATCAAGTGGAAAGAAGTTCAAGACTTTGAAGTATGTTTAAAATCTCAATCTCTTATTTTTTATTAATCACATGTCACTTATATCAAGCAAAGATATTTGCGAATGTATACAATAAAGATATAGTATAGTTTATACATTTTTTTTCTTTAGGAACGAGAAAATGGCAAACAATCAAGTACTGTAGCGTTAGCTCATTCGTCTGAAAATCGAGCAGTCGATTGTATTCCATATGATACAACACGGGTACAAATATCGTCCACAGATGTTTCGTCGTACATAAATGCGTCTCACATTATGGAAATCACGCAATGGATACCTATGGCATTTATTATAACTCAAGCACCTTTAACAAATAAATTGGACGTTTTTTGGACGATGATCTGGGAACAGGAGAGTGAAGTCATTGCATGTTTAGCTTCTGATGTTCAGGTTTGTATGTGTGGATAAAAATAATATATATTTTTATACTGTAAAATTATATATAAAAAAGTAAGAGTAAAAAAACTATATATATGACTTTCCCTTAAGTTTTTTTAATTAACTTTTCTTATTATTTTTTAAATTTACATTTTCTAATAATATAATATTTTTCCACAGCTAAATGGAGAATTATATTGGCCCATTAATGAAGAAAACAACTTGGAGATAGGAAATTTTACAATTTCGTTAAAAAAAATAATTAATCATACAACCTATATTCAAAGAACTCTTTCTATACAACATAATAAAAAGAAATCTGAAAAAGTTGTTGTACACATGCAGTTTCTTGTATGGCCTTCTAAGTAAGTTTACTATAATTAAAATTAAAACAAAATTTTATATATATATATATATATATATATATATATATATATAACGGTATTAATATATCTTCTTTTTAGTGGTTTTCCAAGTAGTCCCGGTACTATACTTGCGTTTGCAAGCGATGTAATGACTGAGCAGGCATTAAGACGTTGCTCTCCCAAGCCTGTAGTGGTACATTGTTTAGATGGTGGTTCCTTGAGCAGCTTGTTTTTAGTAGCTGCTACAACAGTATGTCACATACGAGCAGGCTGCGGAATTGTAGACGTACCGCTGGTTTTTAAAGGCCTTGCAAAATGTCGCAAACAAGTTGTAAATAAAGAATCATTGTTATTTGCGTATAGATTGGTATTGTATCACGCTCAGGACATTTTGATGAAACGTAAGAAAATAATTTCTTCATGATATTCTTTAAAAATTGTTTTAACATTATATTCTATTAGCTTTTTCCTGTTTTAGGCGGTATTTTATCTTCTACTCGATCCACGTTTGAAAATTTTGACGGTTTTAAAGGAAATAAGGAGAAAACATCAAAAAGATTGCAGTGTCATCCCTCGGATGATTTTCTTCATAATCTTGCTGTAGGAATACAACACTCTGATCTGGACCAAGGTATATATAATTAGAAAAAATATTGTAAATTGATAATTTCGTGCAAGCAATTTTGCTCATTTGCAACATTTAGTTCCTACTTAAATCTCTTAAAATATCAAATTTATATTTTAGGAAAAATACAAACGTTAACAAGCGATAGCACGTCGAGTAAAAGTTCAACATCATCGCAAGAGAAATCTAACGGCGGTGTCATCGATCCCTTGAGCCAATTGGATCCTTTATGGTCCATCAGAAGATAATTATAAAATGCTAAAGGAATGTAAATTCCATTGCGCAGTTTTAAACGGACGATTATTTATATAAACGAAATAGCCATTCCTATCTTTGTTAAAGCAATTGAAAAAATATTGAGCTAGAATTTTTAAGAGCTTGTATAAATAATGTTTTAAAGGAATTAACAAAGGAAATAACAACGCATCTCTAAATTAGCCTTGAAATAAAAGACATTTATTCAAGTATTTGCTAATTCTTAAGTGTTAACAGTTTTACAGTCTGTTAAATATATAGAATAAAAAATATAAAACACATACCTTCTATATATACTCATTTTGTATTCATTTTCATATTTATACATCTTTTCTTAAACAATGTAATCTAATTACATCTCTTTTTTCATATTCGATATAGGCTATAATGTGTGATTAATCCATTTAGATAAATTTAAAGTATCTTTTTGCACTTAATATTCAATATAATAACTAACTTAAATATGTTTAACCATACCTGTTTCCAAAAAATGATAATGTAAAAAAATGAATAGAATAGAAATTAATACAATATAAAAAATATTTAAGAACTATTTATCTTTTAAATATAATTTGGTTATAAAGAAAAATATTTTTAGATAATTATTCAATATATTGCATTAGATGTGGAATATTTATTATAGAGAGAAACATATTCTCTTTTATACTTAAAACATAAGCATACGCTAATGTTTTTAAACAAATGCATTATTATATATAGTTACGTTATCCAGTATTATATACGTGGATTTTTAATGGGCGTCTGCCAAAATATGAGAAACATACTGCTTTCAAAATTCTAATAAACTGCACATAGCATTATTTATATTTATATCGCGTTTCTTTTTATCTTTGCCATAACGTTTTACTTATAAAAATTTCGATTACAGCGCGATGCACAATAATGAGTATCAAATATCGCAGTGATTATCGCGCAGAATCAATAAACATAAATATCAAAAGATTTATGAAGTTATGGTAGTAGACCCATTTGTATCTATACAATATCATCATGTTCAAGAACACTTTAAGCACCTCTATTTCGTAGATCTTTCACTTTGTAAATTCGTACAAGCCAATGCTCCGTCGTGTATGCTTCTTCTAATGTATTTAATTCAAAATCCTTGTTTCCAATCTCCATATTCCTCACTCTGTCGTAACCTGAAGGCTTGCCTGTTTGAAGAATGATTAATTGAATAAGAATCACTATTAAATGGATACATAAACTACATTTTTACTTTTAATAGAAAGCCTTACCGCCTTCAGTAAAGACTTGGCCAAATCTGTAATAACACATTTTGTACATGAGACAATTGAGCAAAATTGGGGATCCGTCTTTATCCACTCGAAATTCGCCTGCAGGATTATAATAATCCCATTCGGTTATGGATTTCCCTTTCTCCGTACTACCGCCAATGCGCACCATCCATAGGAACTTGTTTATATCTAATAAGAATAACAATACATTTTTAATAATACAAAATATTATTCTATTTTCAGGATTAGAACTCGAATCAATTAGCTTTCAAATACGTTTAAAGATTAAAAATAGATATTATGCCACATATTTTACCATCTGATGAGTAGCCAGTCAGTCCTCCAAAAATCACAAGAACGTAATTGACATCCAATTCTCTCATAATCTCATAAGCCTTTTCCTCGGAACTCGCCATCGCCTGGCCGACTCTTGATATGTGCGTATTATTCCATGTGTTATTGTCTACTAAGATAGTACGATTTGCCATTGCAGTTATCTGATATCCATAATCCCACCAAGACATTACTTTAGCATTCTGCAAAAATTGAACGTGTTATTTTTCATCTTTTTCGCATCTTTTTTTATTTCAAGAGAGAGAATTGCAATAATTTTTGTTTTTAATTTTTCAATAAAATACTATCACTAGAATTGTTTATATCTTATTAAATGTACAAATTTTTAGTTTTAAAATCTAAATATTATTTAATTATTCGTGTTTAAAATATAAAAATAAAATTTACCTCGGGTGTATTCATACGCAACCAGTAATATGCTTCTCTAAAATCATCAAAAATCATCCGACCACCGTCAGGCGATCGTGCAGACAGTACAATACTCGGTGAACTATAAGCTTCTGCTGTGACCCATGTGCAATGGAGAGTATAAGAAAAGAAGAGTACACACATTAGTATGATGAAAAACGTGGCAATCTGAAAACACATATGTTCTTAATTTAATATTGTATTATCATTATTTTCTTTATTTAAATATATCTTAAGGATAAATTAAAAAAAACATTAGAAATTCTCAACTTACCTCACTCCTTAAGACATAATTATTTTCGAATTTCTTGGCTTTTTTATCAATAACTTTCCCACTTTCAACTTGTTTCATATAAGTAACTAGTAAAGAGGATGCTCCAATCCCACCAAAATACACATAACTGGAGCAAGTACTAACATCAAACGTACCATCACTCCCTAAAAATATCAAATATTATATGTACAATATAGATCAAATTATTTCACAAATTATTACAAAAATATCAATGAAAAAATACAAGTATGTCTTATAATATGATTTTATATTAACTTACTGCAAAATATAAACTAGTAACTCCATACAGAATTAGGAAAATATTTGAATCTGTTAACTTGGAAAAACAGAAATATAATCCCGATGGAAACAGAAATACGAGTATCTGCAGATCAAAGTAGAAAGAGCTCCATGATGTTGGTTGATGTTCCGAAACTGAAGCAATTATTGGAATATGATTTTTGGCATAAGATGGATCAAGTAAGGAATAAAAGCGTCCAGTCCATGGTGATATTTTTCCTTAAAAATAATAAAAGAATATTTATATGTATACATCATAAATAATATATTATATATATATATATATATATATATATATATATATATATATTTGATATATATGTTAAATGATAAATTAGAAAAGGGTATATATTATGAGATCTATACCTGTAATAGTTAAAATACCACCAACTATGAGTGATGTTGTAACCACCACAATAAGCAAGGCACGAAATAATATTTCGAAGTCCTTCTGAGACAATTTATTCCGCAAATAATCCACTAACGCGTGTATTTGACAAAGCCCAAAAACGCCTAATGCCTATAAAAAAATGAAATAAAAAAAAATTAAATTGTAAATATTCAATTTTTAGTTATTTAAATGCAGACATAAATCTTTAAAATGGAACATTAGTAACACTTACAAGCATGTGTTCAGAACTTTGAACAGGTTGAAAACCAACAAATGAAATTTGCATAGATAGAATTGTGCCTAGGCAGTATAAAATGCTATATGCGATATATATTCTGTGGGAAAATCTTCCAGTCACCATTAAGGTCAGTACATGTAATGGGATCAAATTAATTAAGAAGACGTATCCACCCCATGAAGACACCATGTAGAAGTATGCTAATGCAGAACATGTAGCCCAACATATCGCTCCTGTTTTCACAGCTTTGATCCACATGTAATATGTGAATAACATACAAAAGATTGCTATGCCTTCATTATCGTAAGAGCCTGCTACTGATCGCGAGATATAACCAGGTACAATTGCAATCATTGCAGCTGCAAATAGACCTGATGCAGAATCCTAAAGATGTAAAATAAATTTAGTGGAATGCCTGTTTCGAAAAAACAGCACAACTCGTACTCATCATAAACGATGAAAATACAAATTATACCTTTAATTCTTTGGTAAGCAAATAAGTAATAATCGTTGTTAAACTTGAAAACAGTGGAGCAAGGAAGACACAAATGTTACGTATGTTTAATGTAATGTTGAGTAACCAGGAGAGACGATATAATGCTGCTGAAGTTATCATCAAGCCAGGATATATAGTGCCTACAAAATAATTATTTTCAAATTAATAACTTTTTCCTAAAAGCAAGATTATTAAAATTTATTAATATATAATTATTAGCACCTCCAATTATTCTCCCAAGCGGATACCAAACTCGATCATCAAACCAATTATGAAAACTATAGAATCCATTTTCAGCTAAGTATTTCGTTGTGCGATAATTGAAGTAAGGATCAAATTCATGAATGACACTTTCAAATCTTAACACTGAGAATAAACGTGTTGCAAATGCTGTAAAAATGATACATGTATATAATTAATTTTTAAAGTACAGCTAACATTTATCTATGTATATGGAAAAAATCAAAGATGTACATATGATAAACTTACATAAAATTGCTGCTAAAGAAAGTACAGTTAATTTTAAAAGTGTTTCTTGTTTCTGCGCTGTCATGCGCAAACCTCTTGCTTTCAGTAATGAAACCATGTTATTGATGCGATGAGACACTCACAATTTTAAACTAAATTTAAATCCCAAGTTTTCTTATAACTTCAATTTGCAAATTAAATGTGACTTTTAGTTTCAATTATGTTGCTTGCATTTAGCATTATCAAGCAGATATTTTGCGCATCTTAAAATACAGATATTTGAATAAGTTTAGAATTTACGGAAAAATAATGAAAATAATTCTTAAATTTATTTTATATATATATATATATCTGTAGATTACATATAACATACAGGCTAAGAGCACATGTTTGCACTTGTTTAAGGTTATAGTCACACTGATAAATAAATTTCAGCGTATGCGTGGCGAAGCTGAAGTAACGAAAGTTCCTTTTTAAGATTGGCTTTTCCGATTAATGAGTATTCGATGCGCTCTTAAAATGCACACGCGTACTCAAAGAACGCCAAATTGTAAATTCAGTACTGTGACCACGTACACAAGTTTACCGGCCGGTGACACATCTGCAACATGTCAGTTCGCGCATTCTACTTTTCCTTATCATATGTACGTTCAAGCAATATGTTTAAGGGTTGTAAAAATTAAATCGGAAAAATATGTAAAATTACTTTATACAACAAATGCGAGAAAAACAATGTAGCCATTTAAATTATTAAAGGCCGGCAACAATAACAGGATAAACTCCGAATAAAAGACTTGCGAAGAACCCTTGCGGCGAGAATGCGAAGCTCTGACATTTCAACGTCAAACAAATTTAGGCTGTGGTCGAGGAGAAGCTAGAGAGGCTTCGAAACGTTCGATTGACCAATCAGATAAAAAAGTCCAAACGTCTTCTTGATTCTGATTGCAAAGCTTCTAATTGGTTGTCGAATAGAGAATTTTCGGAGTTCCGAAAATTTTTTATTTGATAGCCAATCGAGTTTTTTCTCATCTAGTGTCTTATCTCTGCTAGTAGGTGTTCGATGCCTTAATTTTCGTCTCTTCCGGATTCCCGCCAGAGAACCGGTACTGGCCGGTACGTTTTGCAAAATTTGTATGGTTATATGTTTTTGTAACGTCGTGTTTAAGTTATTTGAGAAAATTTCTAATTAAACAGGAAAAAACGAGATTTATTGAACTTATACAATTGTAAGACATTTTATGCTAAATAACTGCAAAAAAAGATAAAAATGTCTGAAGGTAATATCCAAGTATACAACATGCATTTTCAGTCACGCGATGGATTTAACCTCTCAAAACACAAATAAATCTGACTAAAAATAAATTTTGCGTAATTATAAACACAAATTGTGATATAAATATAAAATTAAAAAGTTAAAAATTTGTATAATTGAGTAATATTGTATAAAAAGAAATTTGTTTATTGTATTTTTTTATGCATCAAATTTGAAAGATGTAGCAATAATGTAATAACATAATTCTTGGAACTTTTCTATTATTTTATATTAATAAAATTTTTGTTTATTTTATTTTATATAATATGCATTTAATTCTGCATGTAAATTAATTTAAAAGTCTGAAAAAAGGATGTATGTGTTATCTTTTTGTATAGACAAAGCAGCAATAACAGAAGATATGTGGACTCCGTATAAAGAGCTGCAAAGTCTTGTTGAAAAGTATGTAATATCAGTTCCTGATATTCAGGATCCACAATATCATGAATTTACAGAAGCTTTGCGAAATCATAGACAAAACTTTCTTACTATCCTCAAAAATCCAGTAAGTACACATATATATATATATAATTTTAAAAATAAAATTTTAGTAAATGTATAAGACAACATATAGATAAAATCTTTAAATTAAATTTTAAAATTAATATATATGCTATATATATAAAACATATTAAAATAAGATTTTTTTAGCCAAAAATGCAAAGAGTCGTGAAGAAATTAAAAAGGAGTCACAGATGGTATAATGTTACCTGGTTTGGGTCATCAAATATTATCAAAGGAATTAGTAGATGAGACTCTCATTATATCAGATATGTATGACTTAAATGAATTTATGGCATTGGACCTCCTTTGTACCGCTCAACTACAAATGCCATATCATCCTGGATTAACACGTGGTTTAACAGCTGTCCTCTTATATTATGATGGAAGGAAAGCATTGACCTCAGTATTAAGGACATTAGTACACGCTCGTATTGGTCATAGTTGGGCAGTTGATACACCGGTTGCTCTTACCAGATATATCACAGATTATACAAATAAATTGCAAGAAGATGGCCTGTTGAACAGGATATTGTCTTTGATAGATGAAATGGATCCTACCAAGGTATTATATTAAGAAAAAAACTATATATTATAATAAAAATACATAGAGAGAATTTTATGTCAAATAAAGTATACTACTAATATTTTAGGAAAAATTCTAAAACAAATTATTAATATGTAATATTATTAAAGCATAAATTGATAAAATTTCACAGTTTCTGTAATTTTATAAATATTTAGATTACTTTGAAATGAATTAATATTTCCAAAAATAAAATAAAATTTTAAATAGGAACAAGATTTGCTGCAACAAAATAGAGCATTAGGTGGAGCTAAACATCATCAGATGGTTATGAAACTTTACAATGATACACGACAAGATTTGGCTGATATCTTGTACTTATGGTCCGCTCAGTCATCTATACCGAATATAATTTTGTTTCGCCTATTATCTATATTGCAAACACGTCAAGTAGAATCCGAAGCAGGCGAAGGAGGACCTGACAGAGTTACACTTGCACTCATTATGGCTGTTTTGAATGCTTTCAATTTTAGTTTCTTACACAGTCGTGAAAACGGCGAAGGTATAATATAATATTTTATAATATTTATAATATTTTATGAACATGTCAATATATGCAATTGTTACTATTTATTTATAATTTTATTTCTTTTAGAATTAATTAATTCAATGCCACTGATAGCAGAGAGAGAAGCACTAGAAGAACTGACTCAAAAGTTAATATCTACCAACATAAATTGGGAGAGTGCTGGATTACGAGGAGTGATACAATTTGCTTTAGCAATAGCTATGATAACAATTAAATCAACTACTGCTCATTTTCAATCTCAAAGTATCATTCCAGAGGACGACATATTAGAAGCTGCCTTGGCTAACAAAGCTTTTCATTTTATGGCAGAGGTTCTATTCAAAAATAGTTCTATACATCAAGAAGAATTTTACTTTCGCTACTTTCATACACTTATTTCCGACTTTATATTACTAATGCCTGTCAAAGTCAAAGAATTACGTAGTCGAGCCGATGAATCCATGCGTTTGATTCAAGCATTCCAGCAAGAAGGCATTGAACCTCCAATGAATCTAGATAATCATTTTGAATACTTAATGCTAATGGTAGCGGAACTGTATAAGAAAGATCCATTGAAATTAAATTTAGCCATGGATTATTGGTGTCATCATACTGACACGACTCATGTATCGCCTCCTGCGTACATCAGCCGTTTGCCCTCGAGACAAGTTGCTTTGTTTAAATTTATACGACTTGCCGGAGAGATATTACCAGCAGGTTTATTTGTTCCATACATGAAGATGATAGCTTCTCTCGCTTCATCGCCGCAAACTGCTAGATATGCGTTCAATTTCTTTAAACCCAACGGTAAATGTAACTTATGGACAAAGTATATTATACAAATTACATTATTTTCGCAGAAATTATACAAATGTCTGTTATACAGGTTCATCGGGTTCAGCAACAATCTGCTGGGATCACTTCTTCAATTCCTTAAGTCGATACTATTACAATTTAAGGCAGGAATTGCCTCCTAGTCAGGATACGGTATACAGGCAAAGATGTCATCCGAAAGGAATCATGCCGCAGGAGGTGAAAGGTCTCGAAGCAGTGCTGTTGGTTGTTCAAGTGATAGCTAAGAATGATGAAATGTCAAGAGTCGCGATATACGATCATCCGAGCTGGAAAATTTTGCAGTCTCTGATCGGTTTGGTGAGCTGCGCAATGCCGATACCACTAAAAGGTGTGTTAGTGAGAACTCTTGCGGCACTTGCCCGATCTCCGGAGAGTTCCTCCAGTGTTTGGCAAAGTTTAGAAGCCGCTCAGATTCTCTCGACCATACCTACGACGAGCAGCTATCAGCCGAGAGGCGTGCAAACGGAACTAGAAGAGATCGAATCCAGGAACGAAGAGTATCCGTTAACGCGCGCGATGTTAGAACTATTAGATGTGCTCACCGATTTCCCGATACCGCGTTTGTTGGGTGTAGGTCAACGAAATCCAGGATTCGATCCGTATCTACATTTCATTATCAATACTGTCTTTCTACGATTTCATACTCGTTCGTATAAGAATCCGGCCGAGAAGTGGAAGATCGCGGAAGCCTGCCTCAAGATATTCTCGAAGTTAGTGAAACAATACGAACCGACTGTCGAGGATTTTGTGGGATGTAAGGTCGAGTTACAAGGTGGTGAAACTACGTTGGTCAATTCTGCTCCGGGATATCACCTTATGACTCAATTGCACACCACGTCTGAATTATTGCACGTGATATTGTACATCCTGGACGAAGGTTGCAATCATTTTGACACTTACGACAGCTTTCCGGGTAAGAAGTATTTGGAAAATTGCAGCTTTCATTGCTTGGAGATATTAGAGCGTGGACTAAAGACACAAAATAATTATATGACGCAGTTGACTACCATACCTTCGATAAACAAAATCATGACCGGATTGTCGCGTTTGCTGCTCGGAGTAAATCCTCGCACTGCCAAGCCAGATCACATGATCAACATCGTCAAGTACGTTTCTTATAATTCGTGGCTACCGAAGCAAGCTTTCGTAGCTGTTGGCGTCATTCATGGCGTGACCAACGAACCTGGAGCAGATTCTGAATTGTTATCGACATTCACGGCGACTTCTGTTTTAACGACAAATGTTAGGCACGGCTTCGTCGAGTGTTTAGACGCGGACAATGTCATTTGGAGGAAGACGACTTGGAGTTGACAGCCACCAGCGATCAAAGCAGGCAATTGCAGACTGGAAATTGTAAGGAGAGAATTCTATTGTTGCTGATGCACAGTATCACCGGCCTGCACCCAATCTTGCGCATTACTTACTCGGCTTTGACATAACTAAGGACATCAGGAAGACCGTTATTCAGCAACCAGGGATCCTGGGCTTCCCGCGTACTTGTTTACACTCCATCTTAGGCATTCTGGAGCAATCTCTGGATTCCGGGCGCGACAAGATAACCGAAGCTTGTTATTGCTATCTCCATACATTGACGGCTAATAGCAAAACATCGACACCTGTTCTGAGATTTCTACGTACCACGAGCAACCAAGACTTCGTTCAAAGACATCTGTCCAAATTACCGTTTCAAGAACCGAACAAATCGATCGAGCTCGGCTGCATGTCTTGGTTATTGAAGATAGCAGCCATCGAATTGCGAGTCGCCGGTGGTGGTTTGCAGACCTCTTTGATTCAACGATTGGTGGGGAGTTTCAATCAAGATAAGGATCAGATCGTGCTCTCGCAGAAGCTGCTAATGGACCTTTTACATTATATCGACTTCCAACTGTATCTGGAGCCCGCGAAATCCTGGGAATTCTTCGATCCGTCGCAAATCGAGGTAGTTTTAGGCAAGTGTAGCACTCCTGTCGCCTTGATGGGCGGTCCACGGCTCATCGACATCAGAAAACTGCATTCTCTCATCACCGAGGAATTAACAGTTACGCAGAGTAGCGCGACTGCTACTCAACGCAAGCTCATGCAGCAGGAAGTCAAATCCATACTTGCGCATGCATTAAAGAAAAATCAGACCAAGGTTCTGTCTTACGCAACCGTGAAATTCGTAGAGGGCTGGTGCCAAACTACAGAGATCCTCTTCTCCGTCGCGACCAATCAACAACTGCCGGTGACGCAAAGGCAGAATCTCTTACTGAATTTGTCGCATGATTTACTGCAGAAGATGACGTCCTGCGAGGCCCTGAGCGAGATTAAGACCCTGGTATCCGGCACGGTTCTGATGCTATTAGTAAACTTGCGAAATAGTTTCGTGATTCAGTCGGACAACGAATTACTGCCATCGTCACCGTCGAATACGACGATGATGAAGATCATTTTGAATCATATCTTACAATGGATCATAAACGCCGGCGCTTCCTCGCAGAAAGTCGTGACGCATCTTTACGCGGCCCTATTGAACTTCTTGAGCATCGTTGGCTTAGAAAAATCAACCGAACACGTAAGCGCGATCGACTCAATGTACATCAGCCAGCTGGATAATTCGTTGAACCGACTCATGCCTGTACAGGAACGTTCGCAACGTTATGCGACGATTCAAGTTATTAACAGTTTCGGGAATCAACTGATGGATATTTTATGCCACAATTGCTCAGGTGGACACGACGTGTGCAAAATGCTTGCACTGTCTTGCCTAGACAAGATTCTGGAATTGGATTACGATAATGCGTGGATGATTTACCTGGCGAGCAGAGGTTACTTGAAGCACATGATAGACAGCCTATTGGAATCGGATAATTTGCTACGATGTATGTTGCAGTCGGAACCACAAACACTGCGACCTTTGTACCTGTACGAGGCGAAGATGGCAATTTTTGCAGAATGGCCTCAACAAGATTAGGCGCGGAGAGTCTTTTGGAGAACAAGGTTTTATTCTGCATGTCCAGTATGTGCGTGTTCGATCAGCATCCTGACGTACACGTAGGTTTCGAGGGTGGCGATTACTCGTTCATACCTTCAGTCGGGCAACGCTATCAACAAATCTTCCTGCCGGCTTTGTACCTCTGCGATGCTCTGTTCACCACGTTAGGAACGGAGAATCAATCGTGCGCCGTACAAGTCTCCGGCTTTCTGCAGAGTCACAGGGATATTGTGGAGATGGCTTTAAGAAACGCATTCTTGAAAGCAAACGTGCTTTTCTTGAAAGAGATCGCGTGCCTCACTGGTGTAATATCCAGATCTGCCAATATAGGTTTGTAATAAGTATCAAGCTTTATATTTGTATGTTATCTTATTATAGTTTTTTTATTATACAATTACTTTTCAGATATGTACAAACTTGTGGATGATGAATTGGCGAAGATAAATATAGATGATTACAAATTGGAGAATAGTACTGGAATGAGAGAATTACGGGCGCATTTGTATCGGCTGCAGAAGTTGATGCTATCATTGTTGTACAGATTTCAGATTTCAGAGTCGATTCCAATGAATCATAATTACCAACAAGCTGAAGCAAATCAGCAATATATTTCTTGTATACAGATTGTCGCCAACGTCTTGCTCTACACGCGTAATCAGGTAAAATTGTGATATAATACAATTATTATATAAGATAGTCTAGAGAGAAAATGTCTAAATTACTTAAAACTTGGACTTTCTGGTGAACATACTGTAACATAATGCAACAAATTATTTATTTCTACCTTTAGATGCAGCACAGTTGCATGGATCAGAAAATACGAAATGTGCTGTTTGATCCTTATTTAACGCGGAAATCAGGAGGAAGACAAGATAAAATGAAAGACACTTCCAGTGGGATGCATTTAGGCATGATAGTTGAACAGTTGGAATCTGTAACAAAGTTACTACACACCGAACTATCGCATATTGATTCTCTAATAAAGAAATCGCAAGTAGTAAGCGACATGAGTACAGCAGAATTAAAGAAGGTGAGCTTTTAAAGTTGTTAAAATTTTCAATCAAATTTGCTTATGTGTAATATCTAATCATATGCGAAATTTATCATAATTGATCTTATTGCCAGTTTATGTCTGAAAGCGAGATGGAACTTGATATAGGAAAACAACGAATACTTGTCGAACAAAGATTGAATCGTTGGGTAAAGGATAAACGACAAAGTATAAAATATTGTTCTCTTATAATAGAACATGCTTTATATATTCTCTGGAGCCATTTGGATTTTTATACTATGCAAGTGATATCACGACAAACTCAAAGAATGCATGGTCAGTGTAACATATTCAGCTTTAATATTATATATATATATATATATATATATATATATATATATATATATATAAAGAATATTACTTATATATCATATAATATAATGTAATATTACTTACATACAATTCTTTAAACACTTAAAATATTTGTTTCTACAGTGTCTTCAAGCGGAATTGATGAAAGTATGATAGAATGGAAAGTCTCAATGGAAACATTAATGGAACTGAAGCAAGGACTCGTTTCTATATTTACGGATGCTTTTATTACACAATTATTGGACACAACGCATACCGAATATGCAACAGTAGATCGTAGTTTTATTGAAGCTCTTATAAGACGAATTAAAAGATTATTACAGTTTATAATTATAAAGTGAAGAACTACAAAATTTTTGTTTACACTGATAGTTTCAATTTTGTTAATTATCTCACAACCTCAATTACATTTTCTTCATATCTAGCATACTGTTTATAATTTAAATATGTATTTTTATATCAATTTGTATACTTAACCACCATTTTGTTATGTAAAAAGTGGACTGTATTTATAATAAATATGAAGAATGTACTTCGTCATTATAACCATTATATTACATATTATTTGAAATTTGTTATGCAACTATTAATAATTATATTAAAATTTATTATACAATTATTAATGATATATATTTAAAATTTATTATATAACATTTATTTGAAATATTATATTACATATTGAAATTATATATTTCAACAATATTTTATTTCAAGAATACCAAATATACATACATACAGTTAATGTTGATTTATATTTACATAAGTAAATTAAGGAAAAATAATTGCTCCTTTACACAAATTATTCTCGTTTAAAGCATCATCTTTTGTAAAACATGGTAAGAGAATTATAATGTATGTAAATATATATTAAAACATGTTTCTTTTGTGTGTTTAAAACATTTATCTCGGACATATAATGCAATAAAATCTATTTTTGTAATGTCATGTATTATTTATTTATATTATAACATGTATTATATGATATAAAAATATCTGACAAATAAAATGTATTTCAAAGTACACATATATAATGCAAATTTAATGGATTACATGTTTACATATGTACATATTTTTAGATATTTTACAGAAAAGTTTAGTTTTATTTGTTTTATGAAACTATTACTGCTTCATCCCATGGACCATAAATGTTATCTTTATATTTTTGGCATCTGATATACCAAAGTGGACAAATAAGATGGAGAAATATTATAGCAATAATAAAAACGTATGAAAATGTTTGTGAAACAAATAAAAGCAAATGTATGGTACCAATTGTCAAAAGGACTGATATAACAATTTTATTATTTATTTGTGACAACAAATATGGTAATAATACAAAAAATTGGACTGAAACTGTTAAAAGTGAAAAAGCGTGTAATGGAGATGTTAATCTAGAAGCTAACATTAGCGAGCCAAAAATTGAAGAAGTTATGGATAAGGAATCTGACAAAGAGATTTGTGATGAACCGTATTTGCTAAATGTCAAATGAGTCAAGAACATTAATATCGTCATAGCATAAATTGTATCTGTGCTAATCGTTTCGGTTAAAGTTTTCAAAATAGGCGATAATATGTAACCAAATGTAAGAAATATTAATACTGTCCATAAATCTTTTGTCAATTTCGCAGGTCGATTGGATATTTTGATGTTGTAAATAAAATACCCAAAAATTGTTAATATGCCCCCTGATATTACAATAACATTTGGCGTGATCCACTCGTTATTTAACCAAATAAATATTATGACAAAAAGTACTACAATGCTCAATTGTATGGATATACTTGCACCTAAACTTATCGCTTCAATCAATGTTACATTATTTGGTTTTATATTTTTACGTAGTTGTTCTAAAAAGGATCTGTCTGTGTAATTATCCGACAAGCCATAATTTTCATATAAATTTTTCTGCCACTGTATTTCTTTCATACCGATGTACTTTTAGAATCGCAAAGTTCTTGCTTTTATAGTCTGCAAAATATTTATATCCATTATAATGCTATGATATTTATCACATGAATTTATAACAATTAACAATTATATATAAAATATATCCTCACCATATTTCTCTAAAATATTATTCAAATAATGTATATTATTTTACTCTTCTCTGATATTTTATTAACATGTATATATGTTATATAAATGTATAATTTATAATAATTCTGTAATATAATTCTATAATTTTGGAAAGTATATTTTAAATAGAACTACACCACTTTTGTGTGCACTTTCGAAAAATATTTCTTCTCTTTTTCAGCAAAGATTAGCTAGTTTGTTAGCTGCCAGATTATCTTCTTGAGATATATAATTCCAAACTTTAGATTAGTAATTGTCCTGGAACAAACGTAATTACACGTTCATAATCCAAAAAAATAATATGTAAAAATAAACCAGTCCAAGGACGGTAACAAACTTAAAAAAAATATTTATTTACAATTTTTATTTATTTCATTTTTGTTATAACCTCATCTAAAGTCAATCAAATTTAGGCAGTGACTTTCATCATTGCAGTAACTGCACTGACTGCAATCATTCGAAAATTTATTCGTCGATCGCAACCAATCAAACAAATGGAGCAGAGATTTCCTGCGTCCCGATTGGTCGATTAAATTCTATTCGACGAATGGCAAATTTTTGAACGCGTCCTTTCGGTACGAAAAACTAGGGAATTTCTCCTAGGAGGAGAAACCAGCACTGACAGTGGACTCGAGGCTCGAGGAGAAGTTTTACTGTATGTATTGTACATACTTTTAGTAGAATTTATTTTCAAAATGGCCGCAACGAGAAGATTGCAAAAGGTAATTCGGTAAAGCCTTTCGTGATCGGTTCACGTGACACGGACGCGACACCGAGACGGACGAGATCGTCGTTTGACAGTTCGGCCGCGGGCGAATTTTTCCGCGTTCGCGATTCCGTCAGATCGGCGAGAAAAATGGCAGTTGCGATGGATCAGCTTTTCCTCGTCTCATCCTCGGACCCTCGCGATCTCGTCGTTAATAATACCGATAATTATGTCATTAGCCGATTTCGCGCATCTTCACGTCGCGATGACAGTTACCTGTCACTGTCACGATGTGTCCGCGAGTTGAAACTGACCCGACTGACGTGATCGATGTACTACTGTACCCCGTACTGACACTTTGTGTTCTGACTTTTTCCAGGAGCTCGGCGACCTGAGGGCGTCGGCGATGAAAAATTTTACAAATATTCAAGTAGACGAGTCTAACATCCTCACCTGGCAGGGCCTCATTTTGCCGGTACGTAAACGTCATCCTCGAGAGCTCGAGGATGTACGTAACCTAAAATATGCGCGGGGTGCAAAGTGCATCTGTGACTCATCTTCTCTCACGTGCATAGCTTGCGTTTTTTTTCACACACCAGGTGAAACATGTACTTTTTCGAGAGAAAAATGTATGAAGAAGGTTGAGAAATGTGATTGCTTGAAAAAGCATTGCTTGTGTTGCATTCTTTCAATTTATGTATATCTGTTTTGTTAATTATCTATATTGCTAAATTTCTTCTCTAAATACAGTACTTTTCGATAAAAGTGACAATCAACATTTAATTATAAAAATGTATTTTTAAAATAATTTAGAATAATTTAATCTTATTTATCACAGATCTATATATAATTAAAATATGTATACAAATATATATATATATAACATATTATTTATATAATTTAAGCAAATTTATTATTTAGATTGTAATATACTATGCAATATTAATTATTTTATAGATTCTATAAAATAATAATATTTAATTTATAGATTCTATATTTTCTCTATGTAAAATTAAATGTATATACAATATTGTTAATTATTATATTTTATGTATAAAAAATATTTAAAAATAGTTCTTGCTTTTTAAGAAAGAATATAGGAAGCATTATGATGTGTTATATATATATATATTTATATATCTATTATAATTTAATAGATTGATTTTTTTCTTTAATTTATAACAAAATGTATATATAATTTTTGTATAACATAACTTAGATGTGTCTTGTATAATTTTGATAATATAAAATGCATATTATTTTTATCTATAATCTTATATTATTAATTATAATTAAAAGAAAGACATGTTTTTTTTCTATAGGATAATCCACCATATAACAAAGGAGCATTTCGCATTGAAATCAATTTTCCTGCAGAATATCCATTTAAACCACCAAGAATAAATTTTAAAACAAAGATATATCATCCAAATGTAGATGAAAAAGGCCAGATATGTTTACCAATTATAAGTGCTGAAAATTGGAAACCTGCTACAAAAACGGATCAAGGTCAGATTCTTTATCATCATCATCATCATCATCATCATTAAACACTGGTTTTAAATAAATAGCAATATTCTTCTAGTATTTGAATATAATGCTATTTCAAGTAAGAAATAGATATTAATAAGAGCCAAGCACAGAAATTGAATACAACAAACTTGTTTAAATAATGTTTCTGCCCTTTCTTTTTAGACTATCTTCAGCAGATTAATTAATAAAAGATGTCATGCAGCTTGATATTTTTCTGTTAATTCATCTACTGAAGATAGTAAAAAAAAAGAAAATTAAAACGTTTAAAACAAGTTTGTTGCCTCTGACACTTATTAGCCTATTTTCTATCTGAATTTTATATTTATCTATCAGAGCTTTTTTATTTTATCATAATTGCTATTTGTTGCAAAGTAGAGGTCTTATATAATAAAATTCTTATTTTTTTAAACTAGAGGGTAAATACCCTAAATTAGCAATCTTTTTCAAAGAAAAAAAAGAATGTCTTTATATAATCTTAGATGTGTCTTTTATATTTATAGTGATCCAAGCTTTAATAGCATTAGTGAATGATCCTGAACCAGAACATCCACTGAGAGCAGATTTAGCAGAAGAGTTTCTGAAGGATAGAAAAAAGTTTTTAAAGAATGCCGAAGAATTTACGAAAAAGCATGCCGAGAAAAGACGGGAATCATCATCTTCTAACGAATAACCCCGAGTAATTAATTTTACTCACTGTCACCACCGCGATGCCTGCCGCCCGTCAGCTGATTTGAAGTCAAGCCAATGTATACCTGTCTGTTAATCCCCGTGGAATCTCATAGATTCAAGTTGAGATGACTATGTACAGTATTGGTTAATCCCGACGATATGACTATACGCAAATTGTAATGTTTATAAGTGAAGAACTTTTCAGAGTACAGTAAAGTATGATAAATAACTCTGTATCATATTGTATACAATTTATACTTGTCATATGCAGTTATACTTTGGTTTATTCTATATCTAATCGTTACATTCCAGCTTAATTCTGTAGGAATGTATACGATGATGAAAATGGTTCAACATAGAACCGTCATGTTTGTCAGATGTAGCAACGTATATATAATACAGTATGTATTAAAGTACATATAATTTCCAATGTCGTTTAAGATGTTAATTTATGATTGCATTTCGAATTTATAGCTACCGCTTTATAACTGTTACTAATATTAAGATTACGCATAATAAAAGATGAACAATGTTTTCTCTCAATTTTCAATTTTTCTAAAAAATAAAATTTTTAAAAATGGTAATTACAATTTTATATTAAAATTATATTTATAATCATAACATAAAATTATTGACATTTATTTATGATGTGCAAAGCTTTAAACAGAATTTATTTTTTCATTAATTAATTCATAAAGTATTTTTATATTTGATTTCAAATAATTTTGTTTTCGGAAATTAAATACAATTTAAATAACCTTTAAAAAAAATTTTACAATTTTTTTATATAATGTGAAAAAAGAATTAAATTAATTTGTGAAATTTATGTTAGATTTGTCTACATTATTTTTGGTGTATTGTAATTACCAAAGAAATAGGATTTAAAATATCAAACAAATAAAACATTAAGTTGTTTTTTAAATATCGTAAACTTCTCTCATTTGTGAATATAGTGAAAAAGTATACATTGTAAAAAAACAACTAACAAATGTAATTGAAAGCATTGGAAAGAAGTCTCTAGTCACTTTTATCTTTCCATCTGATTATTACAGATTTTAATTTTTACAGTGGGCTTGAAAGGCTGAAGAATTTTTTTCATATATCTTAATATTTGGGTGGGTGAATAAATTATTACAACCTATATAGATATATATAAATATAAATATATAAGTGTATATGTAATTCTACATATATATATATATATATATATATATAATGTAAATCTTTAAAAGTTTGAATTACTGAAATGTGAAATGTCTTCTATGTGTGCTGTTCATTTTACACCTATATAATTAAAAGTACAATTGTAGAAATGTATTAATGAAAAAAGTGATAATAGTTTTTCTCATTAAGCATATTTGCATTAATTTTTAAACTTTTTATATGATTATATACAGTTATTATTTATATTATTTACGTTTCTCTTTACATTTATTTAGCAATTTATAGTAGCATTTTAAAAATGCCGGAAAATCTTGCCTTCTCAGTTATTCTTTTACAAGCACATATAGATAAATAATTATTTTTTAATATTTATATTTGAAAAAACATTCTATAAGATAAAATGTTTTCTTTAAAATATTAATTAATATATAAATATTTAATAATACACGATTTATTTTGTTGCAATCGTGATATTAATTATATTTTAATTAATTTTATATTTTAATAGAAAATAATATCTATCCGATTATACTCAAGTTTTTTAAGACAATAAAGCTGGGAAGGGAAATATAATAGTGATTATGGTTATATCATCTCAAAGACCCTAAGAATATTAATTAGATATTATTCTTTATATTGATGCGTTATTAATACAAAAGAATTATACAACTATTGTGCATATGTGTAAATTATATTCTTCAACCTCTATTAATAGAAAAAGCTTCTTTTATTGTAAACCTTCAACATTTATTTTTCGAATTATGAATGAACATGATCTACATATATAAAAGATCTGTTCGGCTGTAAATATATATTTTGACAATATATGTTAAACTTTTCATATGAGGATAATTTGAGGGTAAACTGCATATTTTGTGTATATTTGTCTGATGTATTAAACTTGTGTATAAAGAATAAATGTATTAGGTGAATGTTTCAGGAATAATAAATGCTGTTATAGGATTTTATTTTTATTCAATTTTGTGTAAGAAAGGGTAAAACTTTTTGTTTAAATATTAAAATTCTATTAATAAATAAGAAGAATACAAATAAAAATAAAAATACGCCGATTATTTCGCCTTTTTTCACTACAATGTGAGCCTTGTGTAACATATGTTTGAATCTCTCAGCATTTTATTAAGATCTTCATCTTTATTTAAGCTCTCATACGCACATTTTATCCCATTAACAAAATCTGCATCATATAGATCGTAGATCCCACTTTTTTGGCATACTATAATAAATATTCTGTATTGTATCAAGTCAATGTTTGATAGTAAACTGTAATGAAGTAATTGAAAAGCTAGGTGGAAGAGGCAGAAACTGTTTATATAGTTTTTTCAGTATTGGAATGAATATATTTATTAAACTCGGTATGTGTTTAAATAAATAAAATAGCGTAGTGTAAAAGTATTTTTAACTTTTATATATATATATTAAGAAACAGATTTAATAGATAAAAGTTAACTTGTATATAATTTATATATATTTCTTGTATGTGTGTGTGTGTGTGTGTGTGTAAATTTGTAGGATTACATGGAGTACAGATGTTAAAAATAATATTAAATTGTTGGAAAAAAATGAGAGACAAGTATATTTTTAGTAATACATTCACACATCGCTTATTTACATATATAATTGATAGACATCAACGTAAATAAAATTATATGTAAATACTATTTTTTTTCTTCCTAAATTCACGATATGAATAATATTTATGTTATCGTAGACAATCACAGTCTTATAAGTGTAAAAAAGTTCCTAATTGCAGTATTATTTTAATGCAAATCATTAAATTCTTTATTAACTTAATCATATTTTGCATTATTAGAAACGCACGTTGTTTAACTAAAGTCTATCTAATTTAGAATACATATATTTATTATAATGAATACTCATATGTATAACACATGTATTATAATACAAGTGTAAGTCAAACAAATGCGCACATAATTGAAATGTGTGAAGAATTTATGGGAAGCAGATATATATAATATCTATTATTACAAAAAATTAATGCGCCTCCCTAATTTAAATCTAAGTATGTATCATTCTTTTGATACAAATGACCTTTTCCACCAAACTAGTCAATTATCAGAATATTTTGTCATTTATCTCAAACAAAGGGATGTTCTATAACAACAAGTTTAAGATATTTGTATTCAATATTTTGATATTTAGATGTAAACATACGCAATGGGTATAAATGCAATTAATAAATTTATTAATATTATATATGTATATATAAAATTATATGTAATAGATTTATTATATATACACACACATATATATATATATATATATATATATATATATATAACGGTTTTTAAATTTTTGTTTACAATCTTTTACATATAATAAAGAATATGTGTGAGTAAATCAATAAAATAAAAATTAGATTCATAATATATTGTCAATATGTTATAATTTTCATTAGTTTATCAATTATACATTTTTGCAAAAAATTATACATTATAAGTTTAAAGTTGAATGACCATAAATACAATTATCAGAATATCAAAAGTTCTCATTTGAAATAGTTTCCTTGTTGACATGGAGCATCCCTTGCAAATGACAATACATAAACAAAAAATCAAAATAAAAACAAGAAGATAACAATAATGACGTCACAAATGATAATGGTATAATAATGATGTCGCGATTCGATGAAAAGAAAATATGAAGAATCATCAATTTGCAATAAGAGAGAATATATATTATTACAAATTACTTACATGTTTGTACACATCCAATATTGAATTCAGCATTAAGCAACATACGTATATACTTTTCTGTAAATCATAATATATATATATATATCATTAATCAATAGAACTGTTAATATTAGCTACAATTTATTGTACAACATGTTTTATACATACCGATCTTCCGGTGTACGAGCCAAGTATTCTCGTTCGATTAAACCTTCTATACGTTTCTTAATTATTACAGGTGAAGGCAAAAATCGACCTTTCAACTGCTCTGTTACTTCTGCTACAAGTATATTGTGCTAAAAGAAAATAAATTGATATTAATATTATACATTTTTGTTTATGTGTATGTAGATTTATCCTATATACAATTCTCATTTTATAAGTATTTTTAACTGTTTGCAAAATATATATTAAAGATTAATCTTATACAATGAGACATTTCCATTAAAAGAATTTTTAAATTACATACAGGCATACGCTTTCGAGCTTTCATAATCCGCACGATGGCAGCTTCAATTTCATGTTTTCGATCTTCATCGACTTTATTGCGCGTTTCTTTTCTTTCAGGTTCAGATTCTCCTTTCGCTGCTACAGTCTGGATCTTCACTCTTTACAACATAATATAAGTAAATCATGAATATAGATTTTATATATACGTATATAAAACACACATACACACCTGTGTAATTTGCTGGTAAAACTATCATTTATGCAGAAACAGTGCGAAGGTTCGATTTCTTTAGTACGAGGATGTTTAAGTAAAATTCTTTGCGAAGCTTTACCCATAGCAAGAGATTGTAATGCTCTGACTAAGTCCCTCTCTGGAATATCGGTTTCACCTTGAATTTCCTACACAATATTTATACATATATATATATATATATACAGATATAAATAATATTTTGTTTTTTTATATATATATATACAGTGTCATAGATATGAATGATTAATCAATTATTTAAACTCAATACTAACCTCATATGTTAATCTTTCTCTTTTATTGAAGAGCATTAACACACACATTTGGTAAGTGGAAACTTGTATTATATGTTTTCGTGGTGTACTACATGCACTGCTTCGCTGGCTCACTAAGCTGCCACTTGCATTACTACTATTTCCAATGGAACTCGAAGACGATGGAGTATCTAGGCCTCCACAACTACTTTCTTCTCTTCGTGGTCCATGGAATATAGCATTCAGATCAGCAGATCCTAACAAGCATTTTTTTTTTATTTCGTAACTAAATGTTGAGTAATTACAAATATTAATAAATAAAAATGTATATAGATATAGCTTACCTAATTGAGGCTGTAACGTTAATTGTCGACCACTATGTTTAGCCAGATAGAAACGCCGGAAGGCATCGAAGGCATCGCGCGGTGCAGTCGGCATACTACACTTTGGGGTGGCAGATTGTGTCGGCCAGAAACCGGTTGTGAGCACCCGAACGCTTATATCCACACCATGTAAATTTGTCTTTACAAAGAATAAAAATAATTTAATAATTTTAATTATAAATATCATAGTATTTTATTTAGAAATAAAAACGAATACTTATGTAATATCAGAATTATTACAAATCTTTTAATATTAGAATTATATAGTTGTTCTTAATTATAATAAAATTATTTCCTTTATTAATTAAAAGAAATTATAAAAAACTATAAAAAATTAATTATAAAATTGACTATAAAAAAGTTATTTTATACATACATTAACAGAATGTTTTGCATTCTATCATATTAGTAGTTTGACACTTACTCCAGATGTAAGAACATGATCCTTGAACTCATCCATAATTGTATTACTGACTGTTATATCTTTAAACATGCCTTCTAATTTTGATGTAAACTGACATCCACATTCAGTCTAAAAAATAGAATTAAAAATGTATATTAATAATTTTTTATTTTGGCAATATAAAATAATTCAATAAAAAAATCAAATAATCATGAAAGGAAATAATACTTAATTCTATTTCTCACCTTAAGTTTGGATATCATGTTCTTTTCACTGTCATCTGAGACAGATTTATTCAACAATAATCGCTTGGCTAAATGTTGCTTATAGTACCGTTCAAAAACGTCTTTTTCTTGTAAGAAACGGAATAAGACCATAGTTTTGTCTAAGATTCCTTCAATCTCCTGCTCTGTCATCTAAAATCAAACATTGTGTAATTATATAATGTAATATTGATGTTCAACTTAACATCATGATTGCAATGCAATTATATATATGATAAATATTATCAACTATTTTATATATAATTATATGATACTACTAACCCCTTTAACACCTTTCTTCAGTTTGTCATCAATAAAGAGTGAGAGATATTCTGGACTTTTAGCATTTAAATTAAGGAAGTATTCAAAGTCCGATGCTATCATTTGTTTGTAATTTTTGTCGTTATTAAAAGAATAATGTAGAAAATGATCAAAGCGGTCCTTTAAATCTAACAAGTTTTGGACGTAAAGAACAGCGTTTGTGGTTGATTCATGCTCTTCTTGCACCAAAGCTCGACCTTGTTCTCTAAGGAATTGAGATACACAATCGCACACGGTGCGTAACCCATCCGACACTCTTGAAAATAGTTTATACATACAACCAAGATCTTCTGTTTTCTGATTTTTGAGCATGTGCACTACACCACTATTTTCCATCTACCAAGTATAGAAATGTGTTAAATTCATATGTAACATATGTATGATAATATCATAATATAAACTGAATCACATTAGCAATAAAATAAATAAATAATAAATAAAATAACACACCTCAACGATGGTTTTCATGTGAATTTTGATTAATTCTTCTTCTACAACTTCTACTATCCGCGGTTCAGTGGATTCATCTAAATAGTGTTTTGCTCTTTCAGATTCTTCACAAATTCTAGCTTCAACTTTTTTTATATATACTGATGCGCTATTTTCTGCCAAAAATTTTTGAGATTCCATCTAAAAAAAATAATCTTGAATGTGTTACATGTGTAAATGTCATGCATACTTTTAAATTATACATTAAAGATATATTTTGTACTAAACACTTACTCTATAAAACTCAGCACTTTGCTGTAAAAAAGGCCTTTCAAAATCTTCTTCATAAACTTGACGACTGTTAATTCCAAGTAACATTAACATTTGGCAGGCATTCTTTATAGCGCTACGGTCTACAACTTCTCCTCTTCTTTCCCTTGCAACCATACCTAATAATGTCTCACGTAAATGATCTCTGACACATCCATATCTAACAACCTAAAAAAATTAACAATTTGTTAACAATTTGTAACATTATATATATATATATATATTTATATTAAGCAAAGATCAAAGCTTCAAATTCTAGATATGTAATTTATTTCCATAAATATATATAAAGCACAAAAGACTAATATCATGTTAGAAATAAAATTTTGTGATTTCTAAGTTCTTTATAAACTATTTTAGTAAAAATAAAACATTTATGATATGAGAATTACCTGATCTCGAAAAATAATTAATCCAAGATTATACACATTGTCTACATCATTCTGTTGAACGTACACTCTGTCCATATACATTAATATGTCCCTAATCATCACCATTGATGTTTGATGATCATTCCATGCAAGATTTAAAGTTTGCAGGAAATTATTATGTAGAGATCGAAGAACATCTTCTCGTACTTTGTTTTCAAGATGATGTGTTACAACTTCTTTCAGTCCTGTATATAAACGCTCACCATATTTGTGAAGAACCATTGTGTAAGCATTGCGATAAAGTTCTTCAAAACTGAGGCCAGAATTATTCTTCTTCTGTATCTCTTGTATAGCACTTTTCAGCAAAGCCCAAATGCTTTCTACGTACTTTTCATCCATAGTGGTCTACAGAAAGTAAAATGTTTAAATAGTAATTAATTGGCTATTAATTCTGTGTAAGATTACAAAATATCTTTACTAATTTTTATTTAAGATGTCATGCACATTAATATAATACAATTATTTATAAAAAATAATAATATTTAATTGCATAGGTAGATAGGTAGAAAGTAAAGTGTAAAATATAATAACTCTCACAAGAGTGTGATGAATTATGAAAGGACTGTTTTTGTACATTAATCCTACTATAGGGATTGTCTCATCCACTCTGCCTATTTGCCACAGACCATGATCTTCGGTTTGATAATCCATGTATGTAAAATTTTATTTATTATATAAAAGATTTGCTTATTGTGTTTTATTTTGGTTAATCCTAACCTTGATTATAAAATATAAATATATATAAACTATATATATACTATAAAAATATATATTTATTTTAGAGATAGAAAGTTACTTGTTTCCCTTTATAACACTTTAACAAGATTATTATTATTATTATTATTATCATTATTATATATATATATGTATATATGAATATGTAAGTTATACAATGTAACATAATTGAATGTTATCTATAATTGACATTGATATATTGATATTGATATTACCAATTATCATTTAGTAATAGACACAAGAATCTAATATCTATTATTTGAAATATTATTATACACAAATAATCTATAATTATACATTATATAATATACTATATAATTATGGACTTGATATTAAATTCAAATATATAATGAAATAAAAATCTCTAAATAACCAAAACAATTTTTATATTATTTATAGTTAAGTTTTATTAACCAAAAAATGTGTAATAATTATGTGTTTTATGCTTAAATACATTCATATATATATATATATATATATAATACTTTTTTTATATATGAATATAACAAATTTTATATAGTATACAAAGTGTATAAATTTTGTCTTATTATTTCATAAATGCTAATCTTTATATAAATTATTATCATCATTTTACCTTTTACGTTACTACTAAAAAGTAAGATATTACTAGTTATAAATTTGACAAATACATAGTAAAATATTAAAAGTTTAGAACATGTGGTATAACATGATTATATAGCTGCACTTATTGCAATTGTTTTACACTGCTATGGCAACGATCAATTGTTGATTATGGCCTTGACAAAATAGTACAATAACATTATAAAAGTACACAAAATATATGTACATAATTACGAAAGAAAAGTGTACATATTTATAATATATTAAACTTTATCAAGCAAAATATATATGTATAACACATATATTATCATACATCTAATCTTTTCTTTTATAAAAATCTAATTAAAGAAGATATCAAAGTAATGTAGCATGATATTCATATTTTGTACGATCAACATATTATTATGCATATATTATTATCTATTTCAAAATTTTTCATCGCATCTCTCATAGCAATTAATCCCCAAGTAATGTTAAATCAAAAGGAATTAATTATTGTAATCATATAAATATCAATTTCTAATTAATACATCTAATCAATGTAATTGATTATATAGGCAAATGAACATTAGTATCAATATTACATGAAATAAATAAAGGATACTTGTTTTATACGTGGTGTAATGAGTTATTCCTATAATTTTTACATCATTATTAATTATCTCTGTAAACATTTTATTCTTAATTATTACCTAATAGAATCTAATCATCTTTATATTTTTAGTCGTTTATATATCATTTAAATTTCTAGGAAGGAATATATTGATAAAATGCAAATAAAAAAAAATACAGAAATTATAATAAAAAGTGAGTTATGTACGAATAAAAGCGAGTTGACAGATACACGTATGACAATGACACATAGTATGAATTGTGCAAATGCGAAGTGCAAGTAATCGTAAAAATATTTAACGATTCGTGAGGAAACAGGCACGAGAGGTTTTTTTTTTACATTCAAATAGAAACATCTTCGTCGGGTAATAATAATAAAATCGTTACGATACAAGCCGCCAACAATTCGATACTCGACTTGTATTTAACGGGGGCGCAAGTTAGAGAGAGAAAGGTGCGAGTTTCCAGTTGTGTGCGAGATAGGTAGGTTATGGAATTATGTTTATACATGCAGGAGAGACACCCCCAGTTTATTTGTGTCGCGCGATCGAGTGAAGAGACGTAGAATAAATCCAAATAAATAAAACGCCCTCGATTCGAAAATATTCCAACGCGTATACATCACATCGTATCTCGCTTACCGGAAAAGCACGTATGCGCATTTTGCTCTCCTTCTTCATCAGGGCACTGCTCTTCATCATGTCGAATTTTTGGTCTCAACGCGTCTTCGAGGGTCTTTCTCCTCTCCCGAACCCAGGGAATTAATGCCGTCGTCCCGTCGATGCTGCTACGATAAGCGCGTGGCGCCGCGTACACATTGATACCCGCCGCTTCCTTTTTTTCCGATTAAAAGCAGCGAGCACACATGTAGGTATATCGGGAACAGCCGATGATCGCGAGCCACCGTTGTCGCGCGAGGAGACTGCGATCACTGCTGAAACATACTCGCGAGCCGATGACGGGCGAGCACATTTAACGACTTTTCACGTCCCACTCTCTCTTTCTCCCCCGGAACACTTAACTTTCCTCCGGCCTAGCCGAGCGAAACGTTAAATGCGCTGAAAAGGTACGCGCTTTTCACGATCGAGGCGAAAAGCGACAACGATGACGGAACGGGAGCGAGCGCGAGAGAGGGAGCAAGGAGAGACGAAAGAGAGGGAGAGAGAGAGAAGGAAGAAGAGAGGGAGAGAGAGAGACGGATAGACGAGACACGGTACAGTCGAAGAATCGCGGCCAAGAGGGAAATATCGGAACTGTCAACAACCTGGGGGATCCGAGCTCCTTTTTTTTTTATTCGTCCGCGAGATTCTCGCGAGCTCTTCTGGAACGGTGATGTGATGATGATGATTGATGATGATGGTGGTGATGATTGCTCGATCTTTGGTGAAGCAGCCGCGGATATACGAATGTGGAAGTCACCCCCGTGACATAATTGAGTGAGGTCCGGTACAACAGCACCGCCACGCTAATATGAGTTCTCGTTGAGCCAACAACACCGCCACCGTCGTTAACAACAGGGAGTATTTACTATCAGAGAGAAGCCCGATCAGCCTCGAGAGAGCATAGCCACGCCAGCATTTTTCCTCAAAATCCCTCCTACAGTGGCGCCACCGCGTCTACTTTTATTTATGCGGGAAAGACTTCGCCAAATATATTTTTCTGTCGGTAAAATCGCAACCTTTTTTTACATAAAAAGAAATTTTATATATATACATATTTTCACACACACACACACACACATATATATATATATATGTGTGTGTGTGTGGAAATATATATATATATATATATATATATACATATACATTTATATAAATATATATTAATGTATTATTATTAACGCACACTGTAATCCATTTCAAGAAAAATGTTATATATATTTATACATATAAAAAATTTATATAAATATATACATATTTTATATACACATTATTATTTTATTATTGAGACATTGCAATCCTTAAAATATGTTTGCGACATATGTAGATTATCATAATTATATTTGCAATATAATAAAATTCTTGAGATTTATCTCTATATTTCTCTTCTCTTCCTCTTTTTTTTTACTAAAAAAATTTGACATATATGTATATTTATTTCAGCTAGGAAAATCTAGTTGTGTCAAATTCATAAATAATTTCTACTTTTTTAATTCATCAGTTTTTAGCTTCTGTTGAGTCGCAATTTTAAAAGAGACTTTTATTAATTCATATAATGTGACTTATATTACTTTTAATTTGTAAAATACTGTGGTTTTTTAAATCCATTTTATCATTTTAACATATCGAAAATAGATACACCAAGCTTATGGAAAAGATATTCTATACACTCCATTTTTTAATCGTCATCTCTTAATTTTCTTATGAAAGCATTCTTTTCTAAATATTATGTATCATTTTTTTGTGTATGTTTAGAAAAATGTAAACTTTTAAATCTACACTCTTTTCTTAGAATATTAATACCCAGCACAACTGATTTAACAAAATCAAATTATTAAAACTATTTTTTTTAATAAATAATATCACAATTTTTAAATATTTAAAAAGCTACACATTTAATGGTTTGTTTTTTTTTAAATCTGTATTTAATAGATACAATTTATGTTTTATCTTAAAATATTTTTGGTTTATCTCAATTTTATCACAAAATTATCAGACAAAAGCAAATTATCAAAATTGTTGAAATATCACAATAACAATCGAGATTCTTCAAATAATTATTCTCTAGGTCACTCTATTACTTACTATTAATAAACATGTATTAAGAATGCTTACAGTATTCTAATTTCTTTCATTAATAATTTATATAAGATACATAATATTGTTTATCATAATATTTGTAGAACCGTTGATAATACATCACAGATATATCATAAATTGACTATTGTAGTCATTAATTTCAAGCCAGTGTTTTCAGAATCAACTCATTTCAAACATACTTGAATCAAAAGAAGTCATATATACTATTACTATACCTATAATGCTTACAACAATAGCTAAAATCCATGTGTTACAATACTTATTTCCCATATTTCCTTGGGATAGTTTCGAATTTTCATATTTGTCTTTCCTTTTTCGACGTGGCTTGAACTTTTTCTCGAATTTCTCAATCTCTTCCCGATTGCGTAGCTCTTCTGCCTCTCGTTTCTTTGCAATAATAGCTTCCTGAGCCTCTTTTCTCTCATTTTTCAATGACACACACACATTATCGCATTCTACAGTAATCTGCTCCTTTTGAAGAAGTAAGCAAAAAAAATCCTTCTTAATCCTTTTACATTTACACCATAATCTAACTTTCTTGCTGCATTGCTCCTCTCCTTTGCATTTTCCTGGATGACAATCATTAATGCAACGATGGCCACACTGATACTAAAATAAAGAAAACACATTAATTTTTTGTTAAAAAGAGAAGTGAAATTTCTATATATTTCCAAGTAGTACTTGAGCATAGTTACATTTTTTGGACACTGGTTTCCACATTTGAGTAATTCGTCACGTTCTTTATTCGTCGCGGACATTAGATCTACACAATGTCGGTAAAGAGTGCTGATACCACAATGACAAGAGATTCGCACCAATTGTTTGCACGGTTTGCAAGGCGCCGGATGACAGGGTTGCGAACATGGATGCGTACAACCCGGTAAACGTGGGAATTGGCATTTATTTTCGCATTCCATACACGGCATACCGCTGTGCAAGTTATCGTCAGAAATTTGTACCTTATGACAAGTCAACTCGCAGGTGTGATTTTTACATGGTAGTAGTCGGCCACAAGCTCTGCCGCAGGAGCTCGGTTTCGACATGTGACACGGCCAGGGACGCGTCTCATGATCTCCGAGACAGGTCACAGGTACGGAAATCTCACATGGTGGACAGGGTAAAGTCTTCAATTCCATAACGTCCTTCCCAGGTTTCTCCAAGGTCCAATAGGCGTCTTTACTCCGTTTGCTTTGACCTTCACCCAGACCTTCGTGTGACAAGTGGCTGGACAAAAGTGACCGCATCTCTTATGCGTCAAGCCACAGATCTTCTTGCACGGTGGACACAGACCTTGATGACATCTATGGGTTTCCCTCTTGGTGTGATGACAAACAGGCGGAATTTTGCAGGATTTGTTACAGGGCGGTGGTTTAATTCTCTTTCTGGTACCGCATGGCACCGTTATTTTACTGCTACCACATCGACACTGGACGACGTCCACTCGTGTGCACGGATAACAAGGTCCGCTGTGACAAGGTGCGGCACATTTGTGCTTCCGACAATTAAGCGTATTTTCGCACGTCTTCTCGCAAGGATTAGATGTATTCTTAGATACGCAATCGCAACATTTTTTATTACATAGGTGTCTGCCGCACAAGCGCATTTGCGTGCATTTCTTGTTGCAGTGAAATTCTTTTACGCAAGCAATCTCTTTGCTGTAACTGCCGCATCTGCAGGCTTTCGTTACCACTTCTAAACACTGGCCACAACGATCGGTATGGCATCTCATGTTGCAGAAGTGTGATCCACAGTCTAATAATTTGCCGCAAGTATCGCCGCACGTTGGTACTTGCTGTTGCCTACACGAAACTTCATATCGTTTCTTCCCACAAGGACAACATCTATTTTTTTCCAGCGGACAATTACCACAATCATCAGGTAAGTGGCAAGTGCTCTCGCAGATATGTATGTTACAGGAGAATTTTCTGTTACAGGGTCTCTCGCAGGTCCATGTACCTTCATAGCATTTTCCTTCCTTTTGACTACTCTTACAATGGCATTTCAGAAATACTGTTTCCATACAAGCAGGACATTCTCCAGCATGACATAAGTTATTACAAGTGTGCGAGCAAAATTCATATTTCTTATTGCATATTGTCCCACAACTCCAATTTTTAGCATTGCAGCGACGTGGCTGAGGCAATAGCTTGCCACAATAGCATTGGACCGACACCATCTTTGCACATGGTGGACATGGACCAGGATGACAAAGTAGTACACATTTGTGACCACACTCTGGTTGTAAGAGTTTGCCACAGGTTTCGCCACAGGAATGTGGAATAAGCCAAGGTTGATACGGAGGATCTATAGTCTTCTTGCAGAAACATTCGTATGATCTTGGAATCTGATTTTGATCATACTCCATACGACATTTTGGGCTGTAATATATGCATTTTTATTGATAAAAATAAATAAGACAGAATATATGTTATACCAAACTCTGTTTTAGAATAATTCATACCATGCCCAGATTGGAGTAATCCCTTTAGCCCGTTTGTAACTCAAACTGTCATTGATCCAGTGTAAGATGCAGGACATGTGTAGAAATGCATAGCATTTGTTACAATTCCATATCTATATAAGAGTAAAAAAAATTAGCTATTTTATTATACAGCAAATTACTAAAAACTTATATTTTTTTCAAAAACATGAGTAGTAAATATATATTTATAACAATTTAAGACATTCTAAAATTGTAATACTGTTGCTTATATTAATACAAACAAAAACTGCATAAATCTCTAACTTTGCGTACATTTAACAATATATTTTAACTATTAATAAGATAATTTCATGCTATATACATGTAAACATACCGCATCTATTTTTTTGACAGTTGATTACATATCAAGCAAACAGCGCTACTTGATTGGAAAGAATTAACTAAATATGATATCACTTTTTCTGCATCTGTGCCTTGTCCCTGATATGCTAACAATACTTGGCCCACCACATTTTCGACAACTTCTTCATTTGTTTCTTCTTCTTCATCTTCGCTAGATAAATTTAATGACATGTTGGCTTCAAATGTCTTTCGATGGATAACTTATTTTGCGCTTGAGCTCTTTTAAATTTCTGCATCTTGAAATTCTATAATTTGATATACAATTAATAAAATTTGATTACACATACATTTATGTATGTATGTGTATATATATATACATATATATATATATATATATATATATCACACATGCATTGTTTATAACCAATATTGAAGACAGACATAATTTCTATCATAATTAAATAATAACTATTTGTTTTTTGTACAGAATCGTTTTGTACATATATACAGTTTTTTTTTAAATATATTATATAGCGAAATTGCTTGGAATCTAATGTTAATCTTTGCTGAATAATAAACATTTAACCGGCAAATTGTTATAACTTCTATCAACAATTAAATAATGAATTACATGGTTTTATAACGAATTATGTAGTTTATAATTATTATTTTTCTTCGCTTTTGTTGATTTTAAAGTTTCAATGTAATTAATTTTAACTATATTAGGTTACCTTTTGATTCTTTTTGCTACTGTATAACAACTTTATGCATACGTGGTAGAGTACGTGCTACATTTAAATTACATACACAATCATTAAAAATTCAGAGCGTCCTTATATATATAAAATACATTCAGTTAAGGTTGTAAATGCTTCGAAGCATTCGTTTGCTTGATCAATCGGGACAAAGGAATCTACGCTTCAAGTATTTTATATCGTCAAATGGACTGCGTCATAAGCTTTATAAGTACACTTCTTATTACTTTATTACAGATGCTTCAAAAAAATTTGATTATTAAGACAAATAAATATTTTTTGTCTCTATTAAATTACTCGAAATATAAAGATTTTTTGTCTCGATTATTTTACATATAAAAAAAAAAATATTGTGGAGAGAATATAACTTGCCGAAATTAATATAAGTCTAAGAAAAGGAAAACATAATTCTTACAATTAAAGAAATCTGAAGATATAAAAATTGCAACAATATATAAATTTTCACAAAAAATTAACGAAATATCAGAAAAATATAATCTGATAAATATAGTAATAAAAAAACTACGAATTGTGCAATTGCAAAAGAATTTCTAGAACTTTAAATAAATCTTGTATAGTCAAATGTTATCATTTCATGATCTTAAAAATCTTTCAACAATTAAATTTACATTTTATGTTAGATTAGATTTTGTTTTCTTTTACTTTTTGATATAAAGAATATGTTATTTAATTTTGTGTAAAATAAATAATAAAAATATATACAAAATATAATTTTGTAACATAATAATATAGAATATCATAGATTCTTTACATAATCTCTTGTGCAGTGTAATATTATATATTTATAAATCTGCTTTATCATACAAAAAATCGTGTTGCACAATTTGTAAATACAAATATCGAAAATTGCTGTGTGAAAATGTGTAGCAATTAATCTCAGAAGTGTGTCAGACTTACATTTACAAGTTCAGTGACAATGAGATCGTTAATACTAAAACTAAATTTTTAAAATGTAAAAATATTAAACACATATAATTACAATATACAAAATATTTGTGCACTTATATATGTATATAATTTTTATAACGAGTAAGGCACTCAATAATTCTACTTCTAATTAGTATAATGAACTATTTACTTATATATCTAATATACTTATAATTAATGAATTGTATACTGAATCAGAGAGGAGTAATGTGTGTTGCATTTGAAACCTGCCTGCAAGTATCACGGATAATTAAATATACTACACACATATACATGAATATATAATATAATGAATACATTATAATATTCAAAATACATACACACATAATTATGTTCAAATAAAAAAAATAGAATTCCTAAATAAAAATGAACACTTTATACTCTGGACTTTTTTGTTATCCACAAATCTAGCTATCTTAACAAGCTTGATTTTTTTTTAAACAAAAGTATCAACGTTTGTAAAGTAAAAAATATTTGATATTTATATATATATATATATATATAACTATATTATATACACACAATATATATATTGTATATATAAACTATATAAATGTTTCATTTATACAACAATTATTTTTGTTCTTATGGACGGATACAAAGTAATCACCTTTTAGGTGTTTACTAGTCACATTAATTTATAAAATTCTAATATTTTACAATAAAAACTAAAATTAAAAAATTCATTAATTATTAATTTAATAATTTGCAATTGACATTGTCACATTATATTTAGAATACAAATATGACTAATAAGTTTAATTTGCAAATACATTCATATATGTGTATAGATATCTCATAACATCGTTAAAAGGTATATATGTAATCTAAATATAAAATTAAATTAATTTGCAACAAATAGATTTTGCACATTATTTCGAATAAACAATTAAAAACATTAAGTATATCAAAATTTAAAAATGTCAATTATAAAAGTTTATAAATTTATAAAAGTAGCATCAATTGTTTGCAATTTATATATGTCTATTAAATTATCTCACACAATTTTTAGAACTGTGTAAAATTCTCTTAAGAAATTTAACTTAATTTTATGGCAATATCTTTTCAAAAATAATACGATTAAAAAATCTAGATATAAAAAATAAATTAACAATTGTTGATTTGAATTGTACAATGGTAACATAACAATTAAACGGCTGTTTGTGGAACTCCCTGTACTAAAAGAGTCCTACTTTTAGCTTTCGGCAGTGCAGATTGACTCATTGTTTTCGTTAGTTTAGGCTGACCATTAGGCGAGCTTGTAACAAAGCCTTCTGATCGCATATCTTTCAATGAGACATTAGAATTGCTACGCAGTGAGGGTGTAGAACTAAATTTTCTGTTATGTGCTAAACGTTCTTGTAATCTTCCTTCGTTTTGACGTGGTATTCTGGACTTTACTGGTACATCACGATATTCGTATATATTTTCTTTAGATGTGCGTGTTATATTCTCGATTCCCTCGGAATGTTCATCCTCTCGTACCATCAAGATGTCCCCGCTATAGTAGTGATCAGATTGTCTGTGAAAACATACAGAAAGATGTTACATATCTTGACATAATTGCACATAGAATATATAAATGAATAAAATATAAGTAAAATTATAAATTAACAATACATTTTTTATTTTAGTTAAATTTTTCTATGTAATGTAAATTATATATTACACACAATATATAGTGCAACTACTAAAGCAGATATATGTAACAGGCAAAATGTTGTGCAAAATTGTGCATTAAGTATTTTTTAATAAATACCTGCACTCGTTCTAGCTGCATTTGTTTTGCTATTATAAGCAGAAATAGAATTAATCAGCAATTTATATAGAAATAATTATGTGAGAAAAAGATAAAGAAACCGTATCTCCCAATTGGTGTATCCATGAACCAGAACCAATCTCTGCATGCGATACCGTTCGGTCGCAACCGAGTGCCATCGAGTTAAATTGCAGTTACATGGATTTGGTTCTGTTTACCTTTTCTTACCTTTTGGCGTTACGCCAAAGCATACAGCATACCACAGAGAGTACGAGTAACAGCAGGCATGCCGTTGACATTGACCAAAATGCGATTTGTAGCGGCTGTTTGGGTTCCCACCAATACTGTTATAGAAATTGAAAATAATAAGTAAAACTGTGATATTTAATAATAACATGAAATATTGCAAATGCTATATTACAACATAATATACTTACTTCAGTAACAGGAGGATATGTAGGGACGAGATAACCAATTACGGTGGGCAGATACATGGACCAGAACGCACTCTCCGTTTGACGATAGTTGATTTGAATAGAGCTATTAAATGTTGTATTGATATTAAGATATCGTAATTGTCCATGACGAGCGAGATCAAAATGCAATCCCAAAATTTGCGAAGGTGTTGGATTTCTAAAATGAATAAAATAAATCACTTCAATCTTTTACATTACCATAGAATAACTAAAAGCAGCTTAATAAACACATACCCATATGTTGCAAAATTAGAATATGCTTTCATGAAAAAGTGACTCATGTTACGATCGTTATCAGTCCACATATCTCGACTTAATTTCCATTTTTGCGGGAAAATTTCTGCATTAATAATATGTTTTTATATTAACAAATGTTTATAGTTTAAATTAAATATAAAATTATATGAATATGTAAGAATATATACCAGAATCCATAAATGGTGCTCCTGTTAGCCACAAAGTTCTGTATCATGGGGTACTCTAGCCCATTCTGGTGAATTGAGTGCTTCTATTGAAGTATTTAGAACATACAGATAGGTCGGTACATGTCTTTCCACTAAGAGTTTTGCTATTTGATCGTATGGTGCAACATAATGGAAATCTGATAAAAGCTGAAAATATTAATAATAATTTAGATAAAAATAATATGTCATAACAGAAATTTTATTTAGTTCATTATACTTACATTTACATATTGATCACGTACGTGTGTAACATTTGTTGGATCTGGCCAATATGTATACATATACTTTATTGCTTCATAAACACCTTGTTGATTCAGAGTGTAATTATACCGCAGAACTAATTCCCAAACTTTTTGATCGAATATTTCAGGAGTTATTATATATTGATTTCTCGCTAATGTAATATTATTCTCTGCAAGGTAAAAGTATAAAGTGATATACATACATATTATATATATATATATATATATATCATAATCTTATGCACAATATAATATATAATTAATTAAAATAAAGTTCTAAATGAAAAGAGATATAATACAATGAATTAGAAATAAATGAGTTAATACATACTTATAATAAATGCTGCTTCTTGAGTCGTTACACCAGCCATATAAGCTAAATCCCTCCTATATTTACGGGCTTTAATACTTTCTTCTGGTGTTTCTGCAAAAAAACGCCAGTCAGATGCTCTCCACTCCTCATACCAATTATCTTGCGGAATTGTAAAATTGAAATCTAATACAGGTGCCCATGGAAACATTCCAACATGTGGTTTTAATTCAGAATTTCCTAATTCGAGAAAACTACGTCCGTCCTTTAGACACTGCACTAATTTCCAACTGCTCTCTATACTACAACCGAGCGTTTCTGCATACACCCGAGATGTATTTTGTGCTCGATACTTGTCTATTATCACTGCCCAATCGGCTAAGGCTGAACCCGACTGCGCTATTACTTTTGATACCATATGTCGAGTTCTACAAGATAAAAAAATTAATTATTTTAATATATAACAAGATATAATATGTCATACATACATACATATAAATTACATGTAATTTTAATTACCTAGGTGCAACCATTAATAATCCTGCACTTGCTGCTCCAGCACCTGGTCCAAAGAGTGTGATAGATTCAGGATTTCCATTAAAGTGGCTATATTATCATACACCCAACGTAATGCCATAGCTTGATCAAGAATTCCATAATTTCCAGGGCTATTCTCATCTCCAGTACTTAAAAATCCTATAAACACAATAAAATAAATAAATATGTTGATTGACACAATGCTTTAGAGATTTTATATTTTTTTAGTCATTTACTAACAAGTGCACCAAGGCGATAATTAATTGATACTACTACAACATTGTAGAAGGCAGCTAGTATGTGAGCTGGAAACAAATTACTGGCTCCATGCATAAACTCGCCACCATGTATATAGAACATTACTGCATATTTTATTTGCTAATCCAGAACCAACCTGAATGCAGAGAATTTTATTTAATTCATTTATAATTTAAAACAAATAAAATAAAACATAAATTTTATTTTCTTTAATGATTTGGCATACTTACAGAAGGTGTAAATATATTTAAATATAAGCAATCTTCATCAACATCTCGCACTCCTTTTGTAGCACCAGTATATTCGCTAGGCTGGGGACAAGCTGGTCCCCAATCAACAGCTTGTAAAAGCTGCCAGCCTCTAAACAAAAATAAATATTTTCTTAGCATATTGTTAAATGTCAAGCTAATAAAAAATATGTTTGACAAAATATTTTGTATTAACCTGTGTGGTCTAGGAGGTTTAAAGCGGCCTTCTTTGATAGGTGGCATAGCATAAGGAATACCCAAAAATACATTGACAATTTGTGTAACTCTTTCCACTGCCACATTCCAAGGTCTATGTCTTGCAAAGGGATCGTCGTACAACTGAACTTTGAAGCCTTGAACTTGACCATAATTTGTATTCACAATCACGTCTCTGTCTCTGAAGTTTTTAGAGTCTGGCCTTTCTTTTCCTTGAAGATCTTCACGCCAGCCACCCAATATTCCTGGTAATGGGAGTCTTGGTGTTGTATCCTTAAATTAAATATTGAATCTTTATTAAATCTACTACCTTATAATTATATGTTTAAAGAATAAAGTAGAAATTAATCAGATAAAACATAAAATGTATCTTCTCTCTCTCTCTTCCCTTGCACATATAAACTCTATATAAATCCTAATCAATTAATCCCCAAAAATAGCATCTTGTGATTCATCTAATTTAAATATTTTTTCATATATATAAATGCAGCACCATAAATTTCTTCACTCACATCGTAAAGATATCGATCTTCAGGTGCCCTCGTAGGTCCTCTGTAAGCAGGGTCCAGGTAACTGGGCTGATAGCCGTATCTTCGGTCCTTATATAAATAAGTCTTATAGCCGTTTTGCGGTACGTATACACCGTCACGATTGTAATATCGGCTGCCGTACGAGACAGGGTCCTGGGCAAACGCGACGATGTTCAGCAATAGAACATAGAAGCAACAACAAACGCCAACGCGTCCTGGGGACGCCATTCTTGGCGCGTGCGAGACCACGCGATAGATGCTCTCGCGCAGGTGTGGCTGCGTACGTCACGTCAAGCTGACACTCTCCGACTCTCCGACACGAGGAAACGCGGCAACTCTCTGCCGCTTTGCGGTAAACGAGATAAAAGCGAAAGTTGCTTCGTTGGTCTCCCGCGTGGACGGCGAATCTCCTCGTCGATGGAGAGAGAGAGAGGTGTGTACAGGCGCGTGTTACATGGACGTGCGTACGATTACGCACGAATTTTATTCGCACTCTCGATGAGGACACCTTCACATTTCAGCGGATTCAGCGCGTCGTTGTTACGAAACGATCGCCGCACGCGCTTGAAAGCGTCCCCGCGAAGCAGCCAACACCCTATCGTCTCACGTTGGAACACGGTGCGTATCACAGGTAGCCCCGTCGCGTTCGCCGCGTGTTGTGCCCTTTTCTTCCCCCCGTTCTCCACCTTCTTCAGTCGATAATACGAAGTGTCACGATCAGCGCTGCAAGAAGTCCAAAGGTGGGATTAATGAACGGAGTATAAAAGCGAACGAGAGAATATAAATATACACGAATATCTGAGTCAATATTAATTATTACGTAAAACCTGATATATGTAATTTCGTTATAAAAAATAGCTTCATTTTTATATGTATAATGAATCATCAAAGCTAATATATAAATATAGATATATATTTTACATATAGAAACCGAATGATTCATGCATATGTGATATGAATGATAGTCTTTGTTGATTCTTCCCCCCACCTTTTTATCAGAATTTAAATGTTCATTATTTATATATTTTATGATTTTTAGAATTTAATTATAAATATCTTTTGATTTCCCTTTCAAAGAGGATCAAAATAAGATGCTCATAAATGAGTTACAAATCTAATCACAGCTGACAAACTAATTTTTTGAGCGACAATTTTATCATTCATTTTCTAAAAAAAATTCCGTGCATTTTTTAAATTCATATATTATATCAAATATTATATATATATATATATATATATATATATATATATATTTAATCAACGTTACGAATGGCAATAAAAATTAATTACGCAATTAATTAATCTTAAATGCGTTAAATGCGCGATACTTTATATACACACTAATTATTACGACATATAATTTTATAACAAAATATATAATGCACACGTACAGCTTCTAATTCTATTATATAGTTGGATTTCGCTTCTAAGTATATAATAAGTAATTATCACGGAGGAAAGATGACGTGTATTAGATACGTTGATGGATTCATTCACGAGTCACACCTTCCGTTATCTTGCCGTGAGAAGCCGAGATTAAGATATCGCCTACGCGATGGAGTACCGCTCGGAGAATTATATGTGAAGATATGTGCGTAAACTCGGTTAACTCGGTTATTACCTCGTGCACTGCTTGCCGACTACGACTAGGTGTAATGTTGCGAAGGGCAGTGGCCGGACCCTACTAAAGTCGTAATGATGCAGTCGCGTGCATATACGTAGCCGCGACTGGCCGGCAATGAGCCGCCCACGCACCCAACAGTCAGCAGCCCGTTGCAAAAAGCACCGCCAGCGGATGTGCTCGCGGAAGACGAAGGGGAGGTAGTACGATGGATTACCTATTTTTAACAAACAATATGCATTAAAAAAATTATGCAGAAAATCTTGGAAATTTTGATATAAATCACATGCAATTAAAACATTATTAATAATTGTATATTTTGTGTGTGTGTATGTGATAATTGATAAGAATATATAATAATCTAATATATAAAATATATAATAATAATATATCTTATATATATATACCTATATATATATATATATATATATATATATATGTATAATATAAAACATAATAATAATATACAATAATAATTATAATTGATAAGAAAGAAAATAAGGGTTCTTAATATTTTTATATTTTTTATGTTATATCTTTATATTATGTATATACGGCATAATTATATGTGATATATATAATATAATATGCAATAGTAATATGCGATAATATTCTTATAAATTAAATTAATGATAGAATATAAAAACACGCACGGCTAATAAATTTATTACAATTTGTATCTTATCTCTTCTGAATGAGATTTAAATAAATAATATATATATATATATATATATATATATATTTATATTTATATACACGAAGTTACACATATGTTAAATCTTTAAAACATTCAAAATATCAATTTACTTCTGAAAGGTTGAAGTTGATGTAATAATCCTTTCCCTGCATTTGTAAGAAATAATTTTATTATAAATAATTTTCTGGCAAAATAAACTTTGTAATTTTATAATGTTGATTATAAATATATGCGATAATAATTAATTTGTTGTTTGTGAATTATAATTATATATATATGCAGACTCGATCTTTAAAAATATTTTAATATGCTATTTTTCTCCACAAAATGATGAAAATCAATGGAAATTGATTATAAAAGAAATGATGACCTAACTTATCCCTCTCTCCTTTTATTGCAGATTTTAATCTGCAATAAAAATGCACGCCCTTGCAAAAGAATGTCATCGCGTGAACGGATGTATTCCGCAAGGAGCAATTAGCTCATATAGTTCCACGTTTATCAACAATAGTTTTTACCTGCTATGAGATTAGATATCGAAACTACCATAGTGATGGATAATAAGTATACGCACGGCAATAAAGTTACGCATTTATGTCACATATTTTTATAATAACTATAACTATTTAATACTTTCTTTTTTTTTAATGTGATTTGATAATTAGCTAGGTAAAATCTAGCATTATAGATTATTATATATAGCTTTAAATGTGACGTCAAATATAAGATATTGAAAACTTATACGTAATTATGATAGAGTTGTAGTGTTATTAAAGGTAATTATTATATAAGGAAATTATTATGCTAGAGGTAATTGTTTATGCTTCTTATGATTTCGATTCTATTTTTTTCAAAGTAAAAAAAGAAAAAAATTATTCTTTTAAATCTTTTCTATCAACTTTTCTATCACAAAATGACAACATATATGTAAAATTATGGAAATAATTATTTTAAAATAATATAAAAAGTAAATACTTTTATTACAATAATTGCATAAAATAAGAATATAAAATTACTTGTACAGAAATTTTTTATTTACTTATTTTATATATTTCGTATCTCTTTTTCTCTTTCTTTTCTATGAGAATAAATTATATTTAAATTATAATATAATTAGAAATCTCTTCTTTTCTTTCTTTCTTAAAAATGTTTGCCATTTCTTTTATTTATTGGTATACTTCAAGCTATTATTTATTTCGGTCACTTCTGAAGTTGATAAATGGATTATAGAATTGATTTGCACTAAAGTCTTTGTTTATAGAGAAAAGATTCTGAAAGTTGCGAGTTTGTCGCAAACTCCTCGAGACTTCCGAACATTGAATTGATCAGCGATGCACGTGATAGGAATAAATTTACTTTGCATAAGGTTCATTATGATTTCAATGCCGCGTGTCTCGTTAGACTCTGCTTCGTAAAACAACTTCTCATACTGCTTTTATAACTGTTATTATTTTACTTCAAAATATAGAGTAAAACTTGTCTTAATGTACGTTCTTCTTGTATGAATCATGTCGCAACTCGTCTTTATGACTCATGATTTTATTAGCTAAACTAAGTATTAATCGTTCGCTAGTGGAATGACTTGTTTTATGAATGAAATATAAGAAAAAAGTATGAGATGAGACAATTATCGTAAACATTGAAAAATTTTCAATTACAACTATTTAATTAGAATATCATTAGCGTGCCAAAAAGTTAGACTGCGAGATTCTCTCAAATATAAAAGAGAATTATGTAATAGAATTAATTTTTTTTAGAGAAAAAGAGAATATATGTATATGTCAAACATTCTGTAAAATTCTACAAAAAAATTATTAATGGAAAAGCTTTCAGTTGAAAAATCATACAGTGATTCTGCGAGAGACTGTCGCTTACGACAATATATTCTGCCAAGTTTTGTGCATGTATAAGTGTATGTCGCACGCATTTCTGTAATGCACTATAATGACCAATGAATACAGCTATGGCAATAAGTTACAATTAGAAACATGAATAATTCAAAGAAGGTTGAGAGAAGCTAATGTATAGAAATTACTAATGTATAGAGTTTGTTAAGTTCTAATTTATACTAGATATTTCGTAGGAAGAAAGGAAATTGTAGAATTATTAAAGAAAGAATCTGAATTCTAATTATACCAATTATAAACTTGCATCAATTTTTTATAAATATCATAAACATAGTATAAATTTAAAAGATAATGTACCAGTTACATAATTCAATTAATGTAGTTTAAATCATATCAATCAATCAAATCAAATTATTTAATAACAAATGTAATTGATTGCTATTTTATAAGCTCATTCATTTTTTAATTCTATATTTTACTGTAATTAAATCGTACAGATTGAATCATTCAATTTTTAAGAAAAAGATTCGGAACACGTACTCGACAATCGACTAATTATAAAATTTTTATAATATTTTAAGGTTCAATAAATAATAAATCGTAAAGATATCGATGAGTATTTGAACATGTGTATCACAAAGAAAATATTCGCCAGTGTCGCAGTGGCGATAAAGCGAATACCCTTTCTCTCGTATCTTACTCCCTCGCGCATAAGTTCTTCAATTTACAGTAATTGGTGAATTTATTACCGGTCCACAAGCTCACAACTTCGCTCATACGCCAGTACAGTCCCAGTAAAGAGTTACAATATATAGCTTTAATTATTGTCAGTTATCATGTTACCCTATCTTGGAATCGTCAAACTAATGAAGTCTCTTATTTTATTGGCCGAGATAAAATTTGTCAAAAAAATATTAAAATTTGACAAAATTGAGATAGCAATAAGAACAAACAATTTATTTCAAAGAAAATATTAATAGCATCCAAAAAGTTAAAAATTTGTTTTAAAAGCATATTTTTATTATATACAAATAAAGAAGTTCAATTTAAAGAATTATTATGTTTAAGAATTAAAGTAAAAAAAATAGAAAATGAAGAATAAACGTAAATTCGTATAATTCATATATTTTCTATTTGAAAAGATATATAAATCTATGTGGAAAAGCATGTGGCAAGGAAAAAATAATTTATTCAATTGAGAGAAAAGGAACTATAGAAGATTTCTGTATTATAACTGACAATGAGAATACTTTGTGATTGGAGGCATTATGCGCGTATATGTCACTTCGAATTGGCAAAAATTGAATAGCTTTTCTATCAAATCTGTTCACACATTCGCGATATTCCCTTTATTATCATTGCAGTCCCGAAAATTTGCATTTCTATATCGGAATATTGGAATTGACATAAACCAGTTTATCTTATTCTTCCACACGCGAACACGAATTATAATAAGTAATAAATTCACACGATTTTCTACCCTAACGCGAATCATTTTCGATCTGTGTTCTCAATTTTCGATCACATTTTTTAATATAAAAAAAAATCAAATTTGTGTAACAACCTTCGAGATGGTCATTTATGTCCGACATTCGTTTGCAAAGTTGGTCTAAAAATGTACGCTATTATATGGTCGTTGTTCGTGCCTCGTCGTGCGTACATCCCTTTTTTGTGGGAACATGGACATTATGGTACTCTTTGAACTCGTGGGAATAAGACCCACCACTGAGTCAAGTATATATATGCGGTGGTTTATTTATTTTGTTTAATTTTATCATACGTGCAAAGACTTCAAACACACACGTTATGATGCGTGCGTGAATAGAGTTCACAGCTAATGATGCGCGCATTTAAACTTAAGTATCTTAACTAAAGGTAATGCACGCGATGCTATTCTTAATAGCTTCTATTAGAGACACTCGATCCGTTTTCTTACATTCGTCATATACACTATCTTGTGTATACATCAAATATATCGTTTTATACAAACGAATAATAAGAATAGCACTATTTAATTATGGTGTAAGAAAGAATATTTTTCTTATTAATTGTATATGTAAAAATGTTCTACAGGATTAGAAACTGTGATTTATAATACTGAAAGCGTAATTCATTAATATAGAAAACATTAATGAGATTAATACTCTTTTGATTATTAATATTTTTTTTCATATATACGTGAAAAGAATTTGACTTATCCTTTTATTATTTTATAATTTATATTACCAATGATATTTTGCGTTTGTAAGAAAATTTGTAAGTGATTCATAAAACTAATATAAATATATTATATTTGAATATTTCTACTTTTACAAGTAAAAATGTTTAATTACACGGAGAGAATTTTCTCTTACAATTTTTACTTTGAAAATGGTAATTGTGAAATAATATGGTACTGACAGAATTTTATAAGAATTTCTTTGATTAATATTTATCACAATAAAAAATATTAATATGTAAATATACTCTGTACATAATCAAATTAATCGAATATATTTTATATCTTATTGTAGTAGATATTAATTTTTTATTGTGGTAAATATTTAATCAAAGAAACACTTATAAAATTCCTTTTACGATTGCCATGATTTTCAAGATAAATTTTAAAAGAAAATTCTCTCTGCGTACTTTTGTACCATATATTAAACGACTCTCTATTAAAATTAAAATCTAATAATTAAAAATTCACTCTCCATAGATCATTAGAAATATATAAAAAAGCTATATAAAGAGCATCTAAGAGAAGATAAAATAAATTTTTTAAATAAAAAAACACTACGTAATTACAAAAATCAATGCATTTTATAATTATTTATTAACAAAGATAAAGATGAAAAATTTCACAGCGCATATTCACTGCAAAAAAAGATGAAAGAGTTTTTAAAGTTCTAGATCTTACCCGTGTTAAAGAGTTCAGCAGTAGTGGTGATGATGATGAGCGCAGCTCCACAGATGCACCGACATATCGGACATATAACGATCGAAGAGTGGGGGTGGTGAGGGATGGTGAACGCGCGCTGACTCTCTGCAGGGCCCACTTGTTCACCACTGCGTTGGCTTGCCTTGCCACTCGCGAGCGCGTTGCCGAAGCGACAGCGTCGGGTACATCCTTCTTCGGCCGCGCTCACGATTTTGTGTTTACTTTACAATTCGAGGAATTCGCCGGGAACTGTCATAGTACCTTGGGAGAAAAAGGATCAGTTCTTGAGTTTCCGAATCGAAAAGTTTGATAGAACGATTAGTGTGATCGCGATTCTCTCGATCAACATCGACGTAAAAGTGCATGTGACAATCATATTTTTGTTGAAAGAACATGTTCTGAAAGAACACCCTGTCGTGTCGGTTTTTTTTCTTCTTTCTTATCAGTGATTGAGTAACGAAACCGAGAATGACAACCGAGTCTTTGGCGCGCGAGGTCGACTCGCACATCGTCACCATCCTATCCAGGCTGTCAGCCCTTCGGGAGAACAATGCCGAGGTCACTGACAGAAAACCACCCATGTCCATCGAGGCTCGGAGTTTAGAACTGTGGCGAGCGGTGGCTGTCGAGTGCTTTGCTACTTTTCTCTTCAGCCTCGTGGTTGCCGGCGCAGCCGCTGCCTCTGCCGTATCCGGAAGTGGTCTTTCCGTATTAGCCACCGCCGTGGCTTCCGGTTTTGCCATCGCCGCGATTTCTCTCATCTTCAGCCATATAAGTGGTAAGAATATTGTCGCATCATTTTTTTACGAAAAATACGATCAAAATGCAGGGGAGGTAAAGTTTCTGTGTATCTGCTGTCATGTTTCAAGAGATAAAATTCATAGAAAAAATGTGATAACACGCGGTTTTATGTACATGATATACTTCAATGTTTTAATTGCAAAAATGTTAAATCGATTGGTCTCTTTTATTTTAATTTAATTAAATTATAGATTTTGCTTGTTTATATTTATGGATTTAAAGAAACAATGCTTATATAGTTTCTTTACTTCAAAAATATATATAAAATAAAAGACAAGATACCTGAATTTTTGTGATGTTTTTTTCTAATATATAAAATATATTTTTATTCTATAATTCAAATAATTAATATATTTCTCTCTCTCATATATATTTATAAATATGTATGCATAATACTAAGGTCGGCCACACATAATTGATCGAACCGACAATCATTTCTGGCTGGGTAGTAAACAATTCATTTAATCTGAATTCTTTTATATATACATATGCGTGCGCGTTTCTGCAAAGCGTTCAGAGGATAATTACGTAAAGGGAGATTCGCGAACTACTCGAAGCAACTATCTCGTTGCGTGAATGGTCCTGTTCCTTCTTCAATGTTATATGTCGTTGACAAGCGGCTGCCCTCGCGATTTCTCTCGATTGACTCGTTAACTGATTACGCCGGCGACGTGGATGTGGATATTACCGCGTTGTGCGTGCCTATCGGAACGCATGTGGGCACTCTCAGAGTACGTTCCACCAGAGCGCACAATACGCGTATAGTAGTATAAACTTTCAGGCCACTACGAGTACCACGGAAATCCGATCTCGTTTGTTCCTCATTCGCTATCGTTCGAATGAATGGGACATACGCACCCGTGAATTCCGTTTCGGTTCATCGAACTATCGCTTTATAATAAAAATTAATTAATTTTTAACATTTTTAATCTATTAATACGGAAAAATTATAGCCACCACAGCTAAATTTTAACTGTCTATATATTACATCTAAAATTTATTTAGTTATCATGCCATTAATATATTTCATATTTATGGTAGCTAATACACGGACAGAATTTTTTCTTAGAATTTACTCTGAAAATTGTGGAACAATTTTGGTATTAGAAAAATTTTATAAAAATTTTTCCGATTGTAATGTTTACTACAATAAAAAATATTAATATGTACATACATTAATAAAGTTTACTATGCATATAGTAAAATTAATCAAATATGTTTTATATTTTATTATGGTAGATACTAATATCTTTATTGTGGTAAATATTAATCAGAGAAACTCTTACAAAATTCTTCCAATATTTTATACTGTCTTATGATTATCATGATTTTCAGAGTGAATTCTAAGAAAAAATTCTCTCTGTGTATTTTTTAGCTACAGTTAAACAAAAGATTGATTCTCTATTAAAGTATAACTAAAAAATATTAGTTATAGCTAAAATTTAGGCATGATTATTACATTTCTATGGTGGCTAATTTTTTTCCGTGAATCTAATATACATATAAACGAAGACGAATGTCATCGCTATTTAAAAAGAAATGTCGATCAAACGCTAAGATCATGATATAATGTACGAGTGAGCAAAAAATTGCAATCCCTCGTCTTCTGCCCTCTTTTTTATATGGAAAACCTTTTGCACGCAGGTGGACATATCAATCCAGCAGTTTCGGTATCGTTCGCTTTGTGCAGACGGATTTCCCCACTTCGTGCAGTACTTTATGTAGCAGCACAATGCGGTGGCGGAATAGCAGGGGCGGCGATGCTTTATGGGTAAGTCGCATGTTCATCTTTAAGAACTACAATAAATCTCGCTAACGAAACAGTTCAACTCTGTTCCGCAAAGTTGTTCGAGGCTGTCAACGATCATTTAATAAACGAGCATTTAAAAAATTCTAAGATTTTTTCCATTATTATTATCATTCTGTGTTCGTTTAAAGCTATAAAGTAATAATTGTTAAATATAATTAATAATTAAAGAATTAATAATAATAATAATTGAGAATGTTATTGTATTACGATACGTCATCTTGTGTACGCAGAATTTTTTTACATATCTTTAGTCTTCAAGAAGTGTGTAAGATTATTATACCATTGCATTATCTTTCTCTCAGAAATCTTGTCCAAAAAATAAATTCAAATTTAATTTCTTCAGAGTTTATATCAGATTTCTATGAGATTTCGTAAAATCATTAACACTGTCTAAATTATTCTGATATTTAGCTCATCGTGAGCATAACTATAATAATTAATGAAATAATAGCAATTTGACAACAAAAAGTCGGGTAAGAAAAAGTCTAAAATTCAAAGTAGCATAGATTCGTAAAGTGTTGAGAGATATTAAGAACAGAATGAGATACACTGTCTCGTGAAGACAGCTGCTAGATAGGAGAATCAGGAAAGGCATGTGGCCCATCCAAAGTCGGGTCGAGTTTTCTTCGACCAAGTGTTCGACGATTGGTAGATTAAGCGAATGTGTTTCGGGAGGAGCACAAATATAATATCTGTCATCGTGATTTTTATTTCACATAATTTATTATTATGCATTACGCATAATAACGGAGCAAACGAAGCGAACATTTGCTCGGCAAATTTTGCACTTTGCGTCTAAGCAAAATTTTGCATTAACGGTAAAATGTCAAAAAAAATAATACAACGAATGTATCCTCTATATACTCTATGAATAAAATAACCATAACATTTTAAAGAATTGTTTTCGATCTTGCGGACTGCGCAGAATGGAACGTATATATCTTGCGCACTATAGATAAGTTCCTTCAACATATGCTACTATCGCGTAAACAGCGCTTACTATTAAGCATATATGGTTTCATATACCAATGCATTTCTTATGCAAATTTAACTGGAGCATTCTGAATACAAGGTTTGATAAAAACATTTCCTGCACACAATTCTCGGAACTATTGTAAGCTAAAGCAAAAACAATATTTTTTTAATATTTTATTTTATTATAATTATAAAGTTTCTTATATTCGTTGTAATATAAAAAAACTTTACACCAAAAGCTTGAAAGTATATGAAAAGTCATCTTTGATAATAAAATAATTCTTTAAGTTTTTTCTGTGAAAACGAGAAAATATAATCTACTCTAGGTTCTGAGATACATAGAGAGAATTTATTCTTAAAATTTACCTTGAAAATCATGGATTGTGGGACACTATAGTATTGAAAGAATTAATAAGAGTTTCTCTGATTAATATTTTAACCACAATAAAAAATACTGAAAAATACCATAATAAGATAAAATATGTTCGATTATTTTTTCAAAGGAGAAGCATGATTAAATTTTTTGTTTCTTATTTTTTGTTCTTACTTAATTTTATTATTTTTATTTTTTTTTTATATTAAATCTCCAAAAATAATTATTTCAATAATTCCAAGGGGGAACAAATGCCAACTCTTGCCCCTCTCTATGGACGCCCTGTATGTACATATTAATATCTTTTTATTGTGGTAAATATTAATAAAAAAAACTTACAAAATTCTTCCAATCTAGCATATTATCCCACGATTACCATGATTTTCAGGGTAAATTCTAATCGTACGAAAAATTCTCTCCGTGTATACAAATATCCTAATTCGTCCCAGAAACATTATGATAAAAGTACATACATCTTCGAGCTATTCGCAAATCATCGATATATGCAAGCTAGTGCACGTGCCTCGATCTTGCCCATGGGCAGAGACGGTTTCCATCTTGAAGAGCGATAAAAAAAATAAAAAAAGGGGAAGCTGTTGTAGAGTCGGCGCTGGACCAAGAGAAGCGGCGCATCGTTCGGGAGAATGCAAGTAAGCTGCTCTTTGAGCAACGGCAGCTGAGAAAGCCGAAAGAGAAGGAGATGAAACGAAGCGAGAACTTTAAGCACGAACAAGATGAAAGAAGACGCTAGAAGAAAATGATAATACAAAGAATGCCTGATGACAAATAAAATTGCGCTGCTATTTATAATATTGAGACATTCAGCGAGAAAATGTGCAATTATTATATTATATATTTCGGGAGGAATATATTTTCTCTCTGAAACAAAATTCAGGGAATAACATCTGTTTCTCGTTCTTGATAATTAATTAAGTAGGAGACACGCGTTAATAAAACGCGTCGATAAGAAATGCAAGTTGACGTGAGCCGTTCAATGAAAGATAGAAAGACATATTATTTATAATACAAACATTGTTTCACTAATTACTAATTACCGGATGAGATGTCGCAGAAGTTTTTAACAAAAAGATATAAAAAGAAGGTTCGTTCGTTCGATAAAACTTTACCTGGTGAATAATTGAGGAGGAAAGGTGGAGCGTGTTGAAACACGCGAAGGAATGCAAGAAGTTGGCACGAGGGCAACAGGATGAAGGCGATCAAAACCTGGAGATAGAGGGCGGAGGAAGGTAAGAAGGAAAGAGGAAAGAAAAAATAAAAAAACGGCAATGTGCAGCATGGGGATGGTAAGGAGAGAAGGCGAGAGAAAAAACTACGAAAGAGGCAGAGCGCGACGACGGAATGGAAGGAGAGACAGAAAGAGGCAGAAAGAGGCACGCGTAATTGGCAGGCGAGGGAGAACCTCGAAAGGTGAGCACCTGCCTCGTACGAGGAGCCGGCGGCGGTCCATCGCCTCGCAGCTGCCGCAGATGTTTCCCCGTGGACCAAAAAAGATCGTGCGGAAAAAGGAACGCGGCGTCGTACCTCGAACGAAAAGAGAAGACGAGGATAATGAACACCTATGCATGCACATACCGAGGTGGGACAAGTTTCACGGCACCGCAGATCGGCCCGATCGGGCCGTGAAGGAGGACACGGCGCGAGCGATTCGAGAGCAGATGTTCCCGACATCGCGGAGATCATTGTCCGTTCTTCGTCCGTCGTTCTTTCGACTCCTTTCCTTTCCTTTCTTCCAGCCGGCGACGGATGTGCTCTACTAAATTTCGTTTTATGTATACGGCCGTGCAATGCTGTGCGCGTGCCTCTATATGCGCGACTCTTGTTTATCAAATATTTGAATCGTGAGCAAAGTAGCCAAGCTTTTCTTTTAACCAAGGTTCAAAAACTGTAACCTAAAACCCTATTAAAAAATCATTCGATTTCGAGCTTCAAAAGCTTCAGAAATAATTTTTTATCTAGCCAATTTGAAATTATTTAATTTCTGCATATATTAATTTTATTTATATGTCTATTATTCTTGAATTTTTTTTCTAAATTGAAATGTATTACCTTAAAAACATATATATATCTCAACTATCAACCGTATATATTATTAATATTAAAAGTCACACATCAAAGGAGACTCTTATCACATTTTTTCCTCTTCTCTGCAATTGGTTATTAATTTTTATCTTAATATTTATGATTCATCATTTTTGATGTTATTTTATTAAAATCTGAAATCTCTACTTTTTTTATATTGATAACTTTCATCTCCATTATGCCAAGTGATGCTGCGAGTGTTTCTATCTATCTATCTATCTCATCGTGTCTTCTCCTCGTGACACTCGCCTGGTCACCCTCCGACCACCATATGACCGCACAAAGAGGTAACAAGTGCGCGATATGTACCGAAATAATAATCGAACAATACTCTAGTTAACCGGACGGCCCTTTCCCGAGATACATCTCGGGGGAATACCGTTGAGCTCGGTACAGAAAAAAAGTCGGGGCGTGAGATCGAGAACGAGAGAGAGAGAAAAAGAGAGTGCGGAGAATGCACTTGCATCTGTTGCGACTTCTCTGGCTAACGGTGACGGGTGTAAAACATGCGTCGCGACGTTTTCCGGGGGCGGCGAAGGGCTGAAAAAGGGATCCGGGGATATAGGAATCGTAGGGAAGCTCGCGAGGGGTGGATTTTGGCGCCCCTATCATCCTCATCGTTCTTATCCGTGATCGTTGTCTATCCCGAATACGCGCGCACAAGGTAATAAATATAAAAACCGTTCGATAAACCCAAAGTGAGGCACCCGCGTCGAAGAACGAAATGATAGGGGAGAGAAAAAATGACAGAAGAGAGCGCGAATTTAACTATCCGTGAAGAATTTACTGTCACCTCTTCATTACGCGCATCTACAGGATTCTTCCATTACTGCGTTCGCAGGGGAGTGATTTTTTTTTTTTTTTTCGAAAGAATGATGAAAAAGTGCACGTGAAACATTTTACTTAAGAAGTAAAATTCTGTTCACGTGTTAAGATATTACGGAGTCCCTTTTATATCTAGCCAAATAGCACATGATTAGAACTCCTAATCTTGAGAAGATAAAAGATAAAAAAGTTGAGTAATATAATAATATTATCAATAAGTCAATAATATATCTATATAAACAAATTTTGTTATTTTAAAACTTGATTTATTTTTATCGTTTTATTGTTTGATGTTTTCGTAAAAGTTTCGATTTAGAAGGTGGAAATTTTTTCATGACACTTTCTTCTTACGTATACAAATACTTTCTATTAAATATTGTAAAACACTTCTGATAATACTGTACATCTGTAAAAATAAATTCTATAATATGTACAAATATTTAATTAATTTTCCTTTATATATTATATATAGCGAAATGCGGATTTAACTGCATTTAAAAGCGATGAGAATCGCCTTTTGTCCCGATCGCGAAATTGGATGCTTCAGAAATTAGTCTATTAAAATCTTGAAACACGTTAAGTAAGTGCACACGATGCCGAAATATAAGGGCATCCTTAATTCGGACGAGGTTTTGCATCGATATTCTTAATCGATAGATTTCCAATCTATCGAAGATAGATCCAGCTT